CGAAAGTTCTTGCCATTTTACAAATATTTTTCTCAAATTTAGCCCTCGAGCCGTCTCAATCGAAACAAACTACTGATTAATTTGATTAATCAGTATGCAGCGTCTAATCACTCCGTTTTGCTTTTTTCTCTCTTATAAAATGCCTACGTCACGGGACGTCGAAATTGAAAAGACGGAATTCCGAAGCGAGTGGCCTCGAGCGGATTTGAGCAATTTTTCGGCCCAAAGAGGCGGGGATAAGGGCCCGAACGCATTCGTAATTAGCCCCAAACTTTTATTAGCCTAGTTCTTGAGCTGGTTTTTGGCGGGTTCACGGGGTTTCGAGTTATTGGGCGGGGGTTTCTTGGCTTTTGAAGGGGTTTGGTTGGGCATGGGCAGGGTGTAAAAAAGGTTTGGTTGGGAAGGGTGTCTGGAAGTGATTTGGTTGGGCAGGGTGTTTAAAAGAAATTTGGTTGAGCGGTGGTTTTTCTTGGTTTTGGAGAGGGTTTTTTTGGGCATGGTAAGGCGTTTGGAAGAGGTTTGGTGGGGCAGGGTGTTTAAAATCAGAAAAAGAGGTTTTGTTTGGGCGGAGTAGTTGAAAGAGGTTTGGTTGGGCAGGTTGTTTTTAGGGTAAGGGTGAATTTTTCAAAATTTTTTTTTTATTTTGCAAAGGTTTTTAATTGGTAATTATTTGTTAAAAAAGTTTTTTTTCTTTAAAAATTGGGCAGTTTTCGTGTCATTGTTACTTGCTTTGCTTTTCTTTCATAATTGGGTGTTTTCGAGATGTGCTAGGTAATTTTGTATTAACTTCCAACTCTTGTTTTCTGTTATTTCAACTTTTGTTGTTGGCCGTGCATAGGTTTTTTTGTATTCACTTAGCGTCATACTACAATAATATTTTGTAAACGTTTTTTGGTATATTGTAATTATTTGGCTATTTTTTTTTAATTTTCGATGATTTGTTACATAAAGGAGAGGATATTGTTTTAGAGGGGGGCTGGTAAATAAAAAAATTTTTTGAGGTTGAAAGGGGGGGGAGTGATACACCAATTTTTTCAAAAAAAAGTTTCTTTTTGACCTTTGAAATCAACAGGCTGGACGAAAAAAAAGTTTTTCAAATATTTTTTTTAGTTTTTGAAATTAACAGGCAAGTCCACAATACCTTTTTCAAAAAAAATTTTTAAATGTTTGATGAAGGGAGGGCAGAAGAAGGCGTAACAACCATTTTTCCCAACAAAAAATTTTTTTTGATTTTTTAACTCAACAGGCTAGGCTAATATAAACTTTTTTTAAAAAGAAGTTTTTTAACGTTCGATAGGAGTCATACATAGGAGGGCATGGTATGACACCTATTGTTGTCAAAACATATTTTCTGACCTTTGCCTTCACTTTCCAAACAAATATTTGATTGTTTATTGTTGTTGAACTTGGCCAAACACCTTTGGTGGGCCAAAAAAGTGTGTCCGAAGGAAGTGGCACACAACAAACAGCGGTCTCTAAAGGTAAACAAAGTAGTGTTACGCAGTACAATTGACATTAAATTACTCGGTAATTATTACAATTACTTTGCCTACTGTTTTATTTTTTGCGTGTTAGATTATTGTGTTATTTACTGGGTGTAACTAAATTTATCTTTGTATTTTGTTTGAGTTACTACAATTAATTTATTAATAGTTTATTGATCTTGGCACATTAAAAAGCATATTTTTTATTTACCTGGAGGCGTTTACAGCTTTGGTTGTTAGTTTTTGAGCAATGACATTATCATACTTAATTCTATTGTTTGGGTTAAAGACTATGTAATTTTATTGTATTTCTTACGTATTATGGCATGTTGGAGTAGGGTAAAGTAGGGTACACGTTACAGCTAAGCCTTAAGATAGAGTTGTGGTAAGAGCTTTGTATTGGTAGAAGTATAGGATGAATGTAAATAAGTAGAGGGCTTTAGGCACAGGCTCAGGCTCAGGCTCAGGCTCAGGCTCAGGCTCTGGCTCTGGCTTTGTCTTTGGCTCAGAGCTCAGACTCAGAATTAAGCTCCGGCTTATTCTTAGGCTCTGATTCAAGCTCAGGTTAAAACAAAATCTAAAACTAAGGCTAATTTTGAGACCAAAACTAAAGCTAGGGCTAAAAACAAGGCTATGGTTAATTTTATACCTTAGTCTACAGCTCAAAGTAAAACTAAGGATAAGGCTAACGGTTGGGTAGGGAAAAAATAATGTTTTCTAGTCAATTACTTGCTTTTTTATTACTTTTTCTATTCATAACTTTACTTTTCTAAAATGAAAAAACTCGAACTTTTTTAAAACCTTACACTTTACAAATTAGGTAAAGTATACGTAATTGGCATAACTTACAATTTACACTTTTTTCAAAAAGGCATGACTTGCTTATAAAACAACTTCTTTTCAAAAAAGTACTATAACTTGGGGCATCGATAGAGTGGGGAAGGGTGAATGAGTGTGATCTAGCCCTTTTTTTAATAACTTTTCTCATATTACTACAAAAACATCATTTGTAATTCGCTTTTTTATTCACAATTAATATGCCCAAATTGGCAAAGAACATGTGCTTATTAGTATGAGACATACACTCTCTCTCTTATTTTACGTATTCAATGGATGATGTAGTTATGTCTGCGTGTAAGCATAACAGCCCTACGTATATTTTATATTTGGGATGTAGTGGAATGGCTAAATGGCTATACATATATTTACTACATTATTATGTTTTGGCATCTAGATGTTAAGGTTAGGGTTAAGGCTGAAGCTGAGGCTGAGGCTGAGGCTGAGGTTAAGGCTGAAGCTGAGGCTGAGGCTGAGGCTGAGGCTAAGAATTTTTAAGCCTGAATAGGTTGTTCTTGATTTATATTATATTTGTTATATAAATCTTGTTTGGTCGATAACTTTTTGAGATGCTGCAATAAAGGGTAGAGTAAGGTATCAGTATTTGTAGTTTTGTCATACTTATAGCCACTTTTTGTAGTTAACGCCTTAATTTCCCTTTAACCCACCTATTTCAAGTGTTTAATGGGCTAGATGTATCTTATTTGTATTATGGTCAAAAAGTAGGTAGAATGAGTTTTCAATTAGTAATCTGTTTTTTTTATTTTCAATTTGTTGTTTGACTAAAATTTTAATCATAATCCTGCGTTCAACTCCCATTTTTAGCCGATTTTTTTGCCTTACCCTTGACCAAACTCTTAATGTTATCCAAGCCTTACTCTTAGTCTTACCCTTAGTTTTACTAAAGCCTTTTTATTGTCTCTTTAAGACCTACGTTTAGTTCTAACCTTGTTTTTATTATTAGCCCTACCTCCAGCTTTGCAATTACCCCTAGCCTCAGCTCCATACAAGCCTTACTTTTAGTTCTGCTTATAGTCTTAGGCTAATCAATGCCTTAGATGGATTATAGAAATAGCCGAACCGTTAGAACCCTACCTTTACGTTATTTGTAGCCTTACCCTTGACCCTCCCTTTAGCTTTGCTTTTAGCCCTACTTTTCGCTTTACGTTTAGCTATGCTCTCATCCTACCTTTAGTCTTGCCCTTACAAGGGAAGGCCACAAAAATGGTGTTACAAAAAAGATTATAAAATTTTAAAATTTTAATTAGTTGCTGTAAAAAGTCTTGCCACAGAGAGGCACCGAACCTGCGCTGACTTCCTTCATGATGGAGCGCACTGCCGCTACACCACTGAAGTACACGTCTCCCCTTCCTTTCTTTTCGCTCGCATTCGAATGGAAAAATTGCGCAATCAACATATAGTAAAATTAAATCGCCTGTAACTATGTTTGTAATACCGTTTAGCAAAAAATTGAAAACGGTTTTTAAGATAACTTTTTGCGCTCTTTCAAATGATAAATGTTTCATTAAGAAACCAGTCTGTGAGGTTGTGGCCTTCCCTTGTTAGATCTACTTTTAGCCTTATCATTAGACCTATTCTTTGCTCTACCCGTAGCCTTATCTTTTTCCTTACCGTTAGCCTTAGTCTTACAATTGTTGTTTGTAATCTTAACCTCATCTTTGTTCTAGCCCACAACTTCCAGCCCCACCCTAAACGACCAAAAATGATCTCCAAACCCTATGTGTTATATATAGAATAATATGTGTTTATGGGTCACTTCCGGCCCCTTCGAAATGACGAGATTATGAGTTATTCTCGGCTCGGAATTGAGTTTTTTCTTTTTGAGGATATACAAACTTTGTTTCGTGCTGACGTCCGCGGACGTGGGACCGGGTTGTTTTGCATACAGTGAAATTTGGTTAAGCCCTCAGGGCAATCTTGTTTTAGAGTCGCAAAGGTTGACGTTAAACATGGTGCTTGGGGTTGGCCTGGGTTTGTAGGTTAAGATGGGGGTATTTGAGATTGGCATGGGTTTTGAAATCCAGGGTGGGGTATTTCAGGTTGGCGTGAGTTTTGAACCTCAAGGCGGGGTAATTCATGTTAAGGTGGATTTTTTAGGGTATGGGTTTTAAAAACCAGAAAAATGTTTTTTGAGGTTAGCGTGGGTTTTAAGGAATAAATATGCATTTTTTTTAAAGGGTTTTTAATTTCAAATTTGTGTTTTGCGGTTAGGCATGGGTTTTTCGTTTCGGGTATAGATTTTAAGGCTGGGCATGGGTTTTTCAGTTTAAATATTGAATTTTTGGGTTGGGCATGGGTTCTTTTTGTTTTAGCTTACATTTTGTTACTGGGCTTGGGTTTTTTGTTTAGATATTAATTTTTTGTAATAGGCGTGGCTTTTGAAACCAGCTATTAAAAAAAACTTTTTTTTTGATTTTTTAACCTTAAAATGACCCAAAAAGCCCAAAAATCATTTTTTATTGTGAAAGGAATATTACTACTATTATATTATATTTCCATCCAAAGACTCGTTCCAAAAACAAAAACCTGACCCCATAACTAATGTCCCCACCTCATTGTAATCGAGTAATCATTAATGAATGTACTTGCCGCCGCTGTTTTATTGCCATTTTATTGCGTGTTTCGGATTAAAAAACGTTTTTTCATTTGTAGGTGAACATGAATGGCGTGGCGACAACTTCCGCCACCGCCCCACCAATCCACAGTCCGCATGATGTCAGGTAAGGGTGGAATTTTGAAAATTTCAAAATTAAAAAATTTTTTTAATGAAAAAAATTTTTTTAAATTAGATTTTTTTTTATTTTGCGCGAAGCCTTTTTAGTCGTATTTTACATTTAATCGCTTTGTAAACTTCGCAGCCTGCGCAAATCATGTTATACGGTGAAACGTGTACAAATTTAAAAAATCGTATATAAGACATCATATACAGCTTTAGAGTACCTAAAAAAGCTATTTCAACAATAAAATTACAATTTTCAAAAAACCGCAAGAACTTTCTTCACAAAAATTCTTTTCGAATTTGAAATGTAATTTCAAAAATTTCAGTTCAAATATGCCCCCTCAAGCATTTCCACCAATTTCCAAGCCAGCACATTTCCAACGACCACAACAATTAGGACAATTTCAAAGTTCAACGCTACCACCGCTACCACAGGCAAAGGCGACTGAGCCTACGCCAAAGCCAAGCACTCCGCCGAGGATTGGGCCTTATGATGTGGAGAAGACGATCGGCAAAGGGAATCATGCTGTGGTCAAAAAAGCTAGGCATAAGGTCACTAAGACTGAGGTAGGTTGTCATTACGGTATGAGTCAGTAGGGTAGGTTAGAGAAGGGTAGAGGTTTTCGGCTCTAAATTTTCAAAAATTAAATTTCAAAAAGCTGTACCAAGATTTTAGGTAACAAACCATGCTTAATTATAAAACCCAAAACTGTGCCATTCTTTTATCATCATTTTGACATAAATTTCAAAATTTTTCATTTTCAGGTAGCCATAAAAATTATTGACAAACGCCGATTGGACCCTGAAAATGTGAAGAAGATCGAGAGAGAAGTCAAGGTTTTGCAACGAATTAAGCATCCAAACATCATCAAGTTGTATCAGGTAGGTCAAAATTAAATTTTAATAAGATTTTCTGTTGTAAAATACGGAATTTTATATCCGTATTTTTTCCTCGGGCGAAGATATGTTTAAAATGGCATTAAAACCTAAAATTTGGCTGTTTGAAACTTTTGGGCCATTTTCATTAAGTTTTGCTGCGTTTTTCAGTATGATACTGCAGTACGTACTTAAATACAGTACTACCAGGTGTTATATGACATTATTAAAACAAATTTTGTCAAAAAAAGTCTATAAAATACGTTTAAAATGGCTTTGAAACTTTAATTTTGGCGTTTTTTTCAAAATTTTCGGCCATTTTCAACGTTTTTTCATCATTTTTAAGTACGATACTGCAGTAAGTACTAAAAATTTAATACTGTATGCCATTACTCAAATATGTACTGCCGAAAAAGTTGTAAAATTCCGCCAATTACAGTAGATTTTAAGCCGCTTCCGACTGAATAAAGTGACGCAGAGCGGCCGCGGATTAGCTATTTTTCGTTTTCATTGACGTCGTTATACGAAATCGCGTCATCACGTATAGCAAAAACATCTAAATTAGCTAATGGGATTGTAAATAGATGTTATTCGAATACTTTTTTCGGATGTTTGGAGGAAAAATGAGCTTTTATTTGGGTAAAAATGGCAAGTTATTGAGGTTTAATGGGTTTTGGGAGGCTTGGAGGCAAGGTAGGGTAGTACAGAGCAGGGTATAGCAAAACAAGACAAGGTAAAATATGGTAGGGAAGAGTAGGACTTGATAAGGCAGGGCAGGATATGATAGGGTAGGGCAAGGCAAGGCAAGGCAAGGCAAGGCAAGGCAAGGCAAGGCAAGGCAAGGCAAGGCAAGGCAAGGCAAGGCAAGGCAAGGCAAGGCAAGGCAAGGCAAGGCAAGGCAAGGCAAGGCAAGCAAGGCAAATTTAAATAAAAATTTTAATTTTAATAAATCAAAAAAATTTTTTTTTTTAAATGTAAAATTTCAGGTAATAGACACCCCATCAATCCTCTACCTGATCACTGAATACGCTCCAAATGGCGAGATCTACGACATGGTGCATAATAACAAACGGCTCAGCGAAGATGAAGCTCGTCACAAGTTTTGGCAGATCATTTCGGCCGTCGAATATTTGCATAAAAACGGAATTGTTCATAGGGATCTCAAGGTAATTATTTATTTGGAAATTTATTTGAAACTTTAAAAAATGGCAAGACCTTTCTTTATAAAATATAAAATGACAAGAACTTTCTTTACAAAACATAAAATGGCAAGAACTTTCTTTACAAAACATAAAATGGCAAGAACTTTCTTTACAAAACTTAAAATGGCAAGAACTTTCTTTACAAAACAAAAAATGGCAAGAACTTTCTTTACAAACCAAAAGTAATGTCCAACTTGTTGCCATTCTATTTTTACCTATTTTACAACGTCATAAACCGTTTACAACACCATTCTTTTCAATCAAAGATGTGTTTGTTCAACGTTTGCACATTCGCTGTGACGTTCTCTCGCGAAAGAAATGTTTTTTGTTCTTGACGTCAGCGTTTGCAACAGCTCCATAAAACGTTTAAAAATAGGTGGACAATTCAACTACGATAAGGTGAATATCATTAAAGAATGTGACGTCGTTTTGAAATGGACTTTGGAAGATGCATTTTTAGAAAAATGATACAAGTTTTTAAAAATTTTAAAATATTGAAAAATCAAAATATTTGAAATTGTAAACAATGTTTTGGTTTAAAAAATTAAATTTTATTATTCTGCAGACTGCGGATGACAAGTTATACGATAAATCTTATTTTAGTTTTGTAAAGAAAGTTATAGCCATTATAGTTTTTGTAAAAAAAGTTTTTGCCATTCATGTCTTGTAATGAAAATTCTTGCCATTTCTTCATAAAAAAACAAAAAATTATTATTCTGCAGCATGCGGGCGACAAGTTATACGATAAATTTCTTTTGGTTTTTTAAAGAAACTTCTTGCCATTTTATGTTTTGTAAAGAAAGTTCTTTCCATTCCTTTATAAAAAAAAACAAAAATATTATTCTGCAGCCTGCGGTTGACAAGTTATACAATAAATCGAAAAAAAAATCTATACTAATTTTCATAATTACAGTTATTTTTTTTCAGGCCGAAAACCTGCTCCTAGACTCAAATCATGACATAAAGCTTGCTGATTTTGGCTTCTCCAACTTCTACGAAAAAGAAAACACGTTAGACACCTTCTGTGGCTCTCCACCGTACGCGGCTCCAGAAATCTTTGAAGGCAAACGCTACACCGGCCCAGAAATCGACGTGTGGAGCTTGGGCGTAGTACTATACGTACTAGTGTCTGGAGTTTTGCCCTTCGAGGGAATCAATCTACAAGCCTTGAGGGATCGTGTGCTGAGTGGGCGCATCAGAATCCCCTTCTTCATGTCTACAGAATGCGAACAACTGATCCGCCGGATGTTAACCATCAACCCAGCCAAGCGACCGACTTTGGAGCAGATCAAGCGTCATCGGTGGATGAAGGCGGACGAGTTCGAGGCTCGAAGCACTACTTCGAACAAGTTCATGAGCATCGACACGAAAGAACCGCACCCTCAGGTCATGAAGATCATTCAGAACATGGGTTTGAACATGGAGACGGTGGAGAACTCGCTGAAGACCGAAGCCTACGACAACTATCATGGTGTTTATTTGTTGTTGTTGGAGAGGTTGCGCGAGAGTTCGCTCAAGTTGCATCAGTTGCAGATGTATGAGCAACAAAAGCAGAAAAAGTTGTACGAATGTGGTGGGAGGAGGAGGCAGAGTGATGCTCCAGGTCAGGTTCGGCCGCTTTTGAAAGGGCTTCGAGAACATTCGACGTTTCAAACCACAGATTGTACTGACCCATATGCTACTGGGTATGTGGTTAATACTGAGAATGATACGACTGGGTATGTAGGTTGTACTGACTCGGAGACTACTGGATATGTGCCTAGTAATGAGTCATATACTACTGGATATGTCGGCGGTAATGAAGGAGAAACTACAAGATATGTAGTTAGTACTGATACCAATACTAATGAGTATGTTCGTACCGTACCTCAAGTATCAGCCGCTACTGCAACTGAATGTAGCAACTACACCAACACAAAGGATTCTGGCTACGCGTACAGTGCTACTACATCTACTGATGGAGTTACTGTAGGTGGTCACGGTACCACAAAGCCCTACAAACCTACTGAAGGCTACGATCAAGTCATAAAAGAAGGTGTTGAAGCTGAAATCTGCAGTAATCCACAAGGAAAGACTTACAGTAATGTAAAACCTGAATCTTACGGCACATCTGATGCTACAAGTTACTGTAATGAAGCTTCTGACGGCGATTACAGTACTCCAAAGGCTAGTGAAAGCCAAAACCTAAACAGCGCAGAAGCTACAGTATCTCCTACAAGCTACAACAAAGATTCAGATCAACATACAGTATCAGAAATGACCTCAGACGGCCGTAAAGATGAGTTAGCTTCAAGTGCTCCGCACTCTGAAAACAGCATGAATTACATATGTTACAGTAATCATACAGCACCAGAGAGCACTACAAAAGCAACAACAGACAAGACTTCTATCATGCCACAGTACCACCTCACAAAATCCACCGTAGCCCACACTACGGTTCATCAAACCTCGACAGCCACCGTACAACAAAGTGTAACATCCTCAGGTCACGGTACCAGTGAAGAAACCGACCGATGCTCCACTCTATCACGCCAAAGCACCATCGGTACCATTGGCTCCATTGACGAAGGTGTAGAAAGCGACATGAATGGCTCCAGTCAAAGCCGTACTACCTTCTCATCGCGCGAACTTGACCATGAAGGCTCGGGCAACTCTCTCCTCACCTTCGACGCCACCTCAGTCGACAACCCCGAACTTATGTCGAGTTTAAGCCTCAACTCATGTCCATCGAATGGCGAGGCGTCGCAGAACTTGAGAAATCTACCCCCATGCTGTGCTAAAGCCATAACCGACGCGAAGGAGTCTCAGAATCCGGCTACTGCCGCCAACTCCACCGAAACCTCACCTTGCACCTCTCCACGCCATCGCTGCTTCGGCGAAGGCTGGAGAGCCAGTGATAACGCCATGTTCGACTCGCTAACCCAGCCGTTCCCGACCGGCGAATTGGGCGGCAAGTCCAAAGCGCTAGCCGACGTGTCCAAGCCTACCACGTCGCATCTGGCTGATAAAATGCGAAAAATGCGACTGACCGGCCCAGCCAATGTCGCTGGCATAGCCATAGGAGGTGGACCAAAAATGACCGCAGCTGTACATCATCATCATCATAGACATGTCATGCTTGGTGGAGTACCAAAGAGAATATCGTTGCCAGAGAATTTGGAGTTCCAACCTCAAATGCTACTGAATCTAAAGCAGGCGATTCATGTGGAGAAACAGCTGGGGGCGGAAAAGACTGACACTCCCAAAGTGTTGAAGGTCAGAATGGCACAACAACAACAGAAGAGATTGACCAAGGCTAGGATGCAAATGTTTAGGCAGCAGGTAAGTTTTTATAAAAAATCTTTAAAAAATAAGAAAAAATAAAAATCTTACACTACCCTACTCTACCCAACCCTACCTTGCCCTACCCTACCCTAAAATGTCCAAAAAAACTTAAAAAATAGCCAAAAACCTGGTTTTTTCAAGGTAACATAACATAACTTTGATGGCCCATAACTTTTGTGCCAGTTTATTTGTTACTACCAAATTTTACATAGTTGTAACACAGTTTATTGTGCATGTAAAAATATAATCCACTCCCTTTATAAACAACCCTTTAAAAATAAATATTGACTGGATCAAAAGTTATGGCACTTTAAATTTCACTAGCTCGATATTTATATAGAAGTCGGCGAAAAGTTAAAACTTTTTTTTTGTAAAATACGACAACTATAGCTTCATTTTTTGAGTAAATCCCCTAAAATATTAAAATCCAAGCCATTAAAATCACATATTATACCTAAAATTTTTCAGAGTTACCAAAAGCAAGCGGCCATGCCAGGACCGTCATTGATGAGTCGGCTGAGCGAAGAGCCGCCTTCGTCAGCCCCATTGTCCCCTATCGAAGATCTCAAGCAGGAAGATGCCATGGACACATCTTAATTTTGCCATTTTTTCAACTTTTCTTTTTACTTTTGGGTATTACTTCAGTTTTTTCTTTAAATTTTGAAAAAATTTAAAAATTAAAAAAAATTTTTTTTTCAAAATTTTTTAAATTATGCAAATTTTTGAATTTTAAAGGGTTAGAAATGGGCTGAAATGTCATAAAATGGCATTTTCACACCTTTTTTGATCTTAAACTTTGCGATATCCATTACAAAATGGCATTTGTCACATAAAAAGCTAAAATTTCGAAAAACACCCCCTAATAAAAATTGAAGTAATACCCAACCCCCCCCCCCCTATATACAAAAATGTAAAAACAGCATACATATACATAACTCATTTTGAAGCATCTAGTCACATGCATATTATTATTGTTATCACTACGCAATAATATTGTAGTAGTATAGTTGTTATTATACTTTACTGTCTTCACGGGTTACTAATAAATTATCGAATACTATTTTGAATTTGTATTGATTATCTTGTTTTGAAAATGACTTTTGAGCTTATATTTTAGTTTTAGTTTATTTTAAAATGGCAGTTTTAAATTACCTGCACAGTGCGAAACATAAAACTCAAACACTGCCATTTTTCATCAAACCCAAACACTATTTATGACAAAAATAAGTCACAATTGCCCCTATTTTATAATAACTTTATTAAAAGTAATAAAAAATGAAAATATTGCAATATCACGAGGAAAACCCGGCTAAATACAGTAAGACTAACAAGTAACAATGTTTTGACTTTTTTTAATTTATACACGTTTCGACAGAGTAAAAGCAAAGATTTGGCAAATTTGAGCACTTACAATATACACAGTTATATCAGAAATCACAACATAGATTTTTTATGTCGCAGCTTTTAGCGACAATGAGTCGCAACTTTTGGGGAGAACGAGTGCTACTTTTCGGGTTTTTTGGCCTGTTCTGCAACTTTCTACGGCGATTTTTTTGCAAAAAATAAGTTACAATAGTATTTTAGGACTAGCGTTACTATTTTTATGTCGCAGCAACCTTGTTTAATAAAAACAGTTGTCAGCAACGCACGCAACTTTTGGGTTTTTTAGCCTCTTTTGTAACTTTTTATTGCAACTTTTTAATAAAAAATACGTTAAAGTAACACTCATAACTTGAAACTGCAAGTTTAATGTCACCGCAATACTTTTTCATAAAAAAAAGTTGTCAGCAACCTCCGCAACTTTTCCCTTTTTTCGCAGGTAAAAATCTCAAAAAAAGCAAATTTAACTCCAAAACAACCATCAATTTAAGCTGCAACAAATCTTTCCTCCAAAAAATTTTCAAAGACCGGTCAAAAAGTTCATAGACTTTCGTCGTAGAGCGACTTTTCCATCGTGAACCACTTCTTTTTGGCACGTTGAACGTTGCCAGTGTCAGTGAGGCGCGACTTCAACGCTTTTATGGCTTCTTGTTTTTGTTGTTGGTTGTCGAGGTAGGCTTGTTCGTCCATCGAGTCGGATGCGTTACCTGCTAGACGTTGTTCTAGCTTCGCCTGCAATTTTTTGAAATTTTTAAAATTCAAGGTTTTGATAAATGGCGAAAACTTTGTGTCCAGAAGAGTAAGATGCCAAATTTTTATTTTTTTTAAATTATAAAAAATATTTTTTAAATTTCAATTTTCCCGCCAAAATTCAAATTTTAAAATTCCCGCCAAAAATTCTAGTTTCAAAAATCCCGCCAAAACACAATTTTTAAATTCTGACCAAAGACATAAATTTTAATTTTTAAAAACCCAAATTTCCCGCCAAAATATACCTTTAGTAAGCTAAAATCAAAAGCGTCTTGTTGTTGCCTTAACAGCGTATCATCGTTCTCATCGAACTCAAACGTGCTGTGCGAGCCTTGTTTCGATTGATTTTGCTTTCGTTCCTTCTTTCTGGCTTCTAGATTGGCGGCAAGTTGTTCCGAGAATGTCATCGGTTTCGAAGTGGCTTCCGGTTTCACGCCTTGGTTGTTTTGTTGTGCCTAAAAGGCGTGTGTAATGTCTTGGCTACAGTGTTTTTGAGGGTTTATAAAGTGTATGGTCTTTGAGATATTATTATTTCTTTAACATAAGATTTTAAGACATAGAGCAGGGTAGGGTAAAATAGAGTAAAGTAAGGTAAGGAAAAGAAAGGTAGAGTTGGCTGGGCCAAGGTAGGATAGAGTAAGGTACGGTAGAGTAGGACGTTGTAGGGTATGGTAATGTATAGTAGGGTAAGGTAGAGTTGAGTAAGATGAGATAGAATACAGTACGATACTGTAGGATAGAGTAAAGTCTGGTAGGGTAAAATCATAAAGATCAAGAGGTAGGGTGTGGTATATTAAGATAGTGTTGGCTAGAGTAAATTAACACTATGACTATGTTAGAGTAAAAAGATTAAGCTACAACAAAGTCAGGATAGGCACGATAAAGGGCTCAATCTACCCTTTTCACCCCCCCCCCATGCCCTAGTTACGTCCCAGAGCTTGGCATAGGCTACAGAAAGAATATATTAGACTCATAAGATCAGAGTCCGGACTATGACAAGTTTTGACAGTCCATTAGCAACCAAAGAAGCCTGCTTTACTCTACCCCATAACACAATATAGCTATCCAGTTCCCCAAAACTCACCTTCTGACCCAACAAAGCGTACAACTTGTCTCCGCCGTTCACTTTCACCTCTTCCACTTTGCCTCCATTACTCAACTTAGCCTTCAAGCTCTTCTTTCTCTCTCCAACGCCTTTCGCTTCGACCAGAATCCCGTTCTCTGTCTTGATCTCCATCTTCGCGGCCACGGAATCGCGTTTCTGTACCGCGACCTGATCCTTCTTCCTCAACTTTTGTCTTATCAGCTCCAGCTCCTCCCGCGAATCCAGGACCTTCTCCTGTTCCACCGTTGTGGACTTCTGATTCACCGTGGATTTGTCTCGTTCGTGTAGCTGAAGCTTCTTCGTGGCTACGTTAATGTGATTGTCTTTGGATGACAACGTTTCCGACAGGATCTTATGTTGTAGTTGGACTTGAGCCGACTGTTTCTTGGTGGATTCCGACTCGGATTGGGTTGGATCGCCGGATTCTTTGGTCTTCTGAATCTTCTTCTTTCGTACTGTAACCTTCTTTTCGGATACGGTCTTGCTGACGAGTTCTGGTGACAAAATCTTGGTGTTATTACCTATTTTATTTAGTAGCTCTCCGTTTCGATCGTTTTCTTGTTCAATTTTTATGACTTTAGGCTTAAACAAGCCTAGTTTAGCTGAACCAGGATCTGACTTTGAGAATTTCAAAGCGTCGTGATCATTTTTGATGCCTTCTGGAGTTGATTTCGACAGCTTTAAGCCTTCATGATCATTCTTGGCGGTTTCAGGTTTAGAAGGCACAAATGACGATACAGCCATCATCATCGGCGCATCTGAAGTCTGATTTTGTTGTAACCGCTTCAGAAGGCTTCCTACTTTCGATGTGCCTTCTCCTGCACCGTCGATTGACTTCTGAATCTCTGACGGCTTCGAAACTTCCGCTGGCTTCTGAATCTTGTGTTCTACGGGCTTCAGAAGTGACTTCACATCGAATTTGACGTCAGAATTCGAATTCAAAGTCAAGGTTGAGCTCAATTTGGAATCCGGCCTGAGGTCTAGCTTGGCTTCAGAAGTCTTCGTATCAGTAGAAGTTGAGTTCTTGGGCCGGATCTTTTTCTTCTTCAACTTTGGCGATTTGGCGTCTGGATCGGCCGCTGATTTCGTTTTACTCAATGGTTTTTTGGTTGTAGTGGGTTCTGATGTTGTAGCAGGTCCATTAAGAGGTGTAGATGTTGTAGTAGTTAATGGGCGCTTGGATTCTGCATCCTTTTTTGGTGTAGCTGCAGCTACTGGCAAAGTGAATGGGGTTGAGGCCGCTACAGGCAAAGAAAAGGGTGTAGATGCGGCTACGGGTAATGAAAATGGAGCTACAGGCTTTTGAGGTAAGGTGGCTTCTGTTTTCTTCATCGTACTGGATTCTGGAGTTTCTTTTTTGCCTAAAAGGCCTTCTGAAGCCTTCATCACGAAGCCTTCTTCCTTGGGTGTCACAACTTCTGGAGAATCTTTCTTTACCGTGACAACTTCTGGAGCCTTTTTATTTGCCGTGCTTGTTTCTAAAGGTTCCTTCTTTATCGTGCTAGCTTCTGGAGCCTCTTTCTTCACGGTAGCAGCAGCTACAGGCAAAGTAAATGGCACACTTGATGTATCTTCTTTGAACGGTAGCCTTGACAACAGATTCTCCTTCTTCGTCTTGGCTTCAGAAGCCTTGTCATCAACTTTTGCAGCTCCACCATCATGTCTCCCTTTACCATCCACGTTCTTACCATCATATCCGGCTTTATTACCATCATTTCTACCGGTAATACCATCAATCTTCAACTTGATATCTACCTCTTTTAGCTTATTCTCCACTTTTTCCATGTTTTTCCTCTCCAAAACCGGTGATTTTGGTGATGGTGATCTGGATTTCATATCCACATCTTCTGATGTAGCTTCACCGGCTTCTGGGGGCTTTAAAAGTGCACCAAGTGAGCCTTTTTTCGGCTTTTTAGCTGCTTGTTCCGAGCTGCTGGCCTTGCGAGATGTAGACTTGACTCGTTTCGGCTTGTCGCCCTTGTCGCGGTGGCGTTTGGCGGGCTTTGGAGAGCTTGGTCTTGAGGTTTCGTTGTCTGTTGATACCACTGATATCTATAACAAAATTTTTTGAAAAATTTTTGAAAAGATTAGGTTTTTAAGGACAAAAGTCGACCAAAAATACGCTTTTTCTCCTAAAAATCGACCAAAATGTGCCATTTTTTTACTTAAAAAACCCATTACTACCCTTAACTATAAATTAACCACCCTCAAAGCTACAGTAACCCTCCCAAATCCATACCTCAAGCAGATCTGACTTTGGTTCAACTCTGTCCACATCCATGACTCCAGTAGCCAATTTGTCTTCCGAAGTCGATGGCTTCATCGCCACCTCCTCAACTGCCATTTTGACTTCTGGTTTCCGTTTAAAGGCGTTCTTAACCAACGATGACATATCGTTTTTGGCTTCTTGTTGTGTTGCTTGTGCCACGTCCAGCATGTTTTGAACGTATTTTACGCCGGCCTCGGAGCGGCGTTCCTTCAACGTGTTCATCAGGCGCATCGCTTGGTTTACGAAGAGAACGGTGAATACGGCTTTCTGGAATGGGAACAGTCATTTTATGGTTTGTAAAGAAAGTTCTTGTCAATTTACGTTTTGTAAAGAAAGTTTTTGTTGTTTCTTTATAATACGCCAAAAAATAGTATTTCGCAGCCTGCGGGTGACATTTTATATGATGAATGCCGTTTTGCCCCTTGTAAAGAAAGTTCTTGCCATTTTGTGTCTTGTAAAGAAAGTTCTTGCTACTTTATGTTTTGTAAAGAAAGTTATTGCCATTTAAAACTTCATAAACAAAGTTTCTCACCCCCTTTCCTCCACCCTTACCCTAAACTGCTTCTTCCTGACATAGCTCTTCAACTTCTGAGTATTCAGCCTCTTTTCCATCTCTTCTTGCGACTTGCGATGTGCCATTTCTCGCGACTTCTCCAGTGATCTGGTTATCCAAACATGTTGTAGACACTCGTGAGGTAACATACGCTCTGCTTTGTTCATTACCAATAGTTTTCTGATAAAATCTCGAGCTTCATCGCTTATGCCATTCTCATCGAATTGTTCACAAAACACGTATTTACCCTTTTCTACGTTACAATAGGTCTCAGCTATGTTGTCACCAAGGAAGGGGGATTCTCCTGATAGCCTGAAAAAAATGTCGTAGTAACGGGTTTCTGAGAAAATTATATTTTATTCAAGTTTAAATTAACTTGACCCTAGAGTACCATGCATTAATCTACTCTACCGTACCCTATCCTACCCTACCCTATCCTATCCTACCCCACCCTATCTACCATATTCTACATTACCACGGTCTGCCTTGTCCTACTCAACCCAAGCTTACTCTCTATTCTACAGTACACGTACCTTATCTTACAGTACCACTAGTTTATGATACAGTATTCTACCATGCCTTTATGTTTCTCGTCATTTCTTACAGTAGTTTAAATTACCTTATCCTACAGTACTCCTACCATAAATTACAGTCAGTACCCCCCTCTTGATAAAAACTTACAGTATGTAAGCAATAACGCCCACACTCCACATGTCAGTGTGAAAATCCAACGGTTCGTATTTTATGACTTCTGGAGCCGCAAATTCCGGGGTTCCGGCCATCAGAAGCAAGTCGTGAGATCCATCGTAATATTGAGCCAAGCCAAAGTCAATCAGCTTTATCTGGTTCCCTGATTGCGACACACACATTATGTTCTCTGGCTGGAAATAAAGTTCTTGCGGTTTTTGGCTTTGTAAAGAATGTTTTCGCCATTTTATGTTTTGTAAAAAAATTCTTGCTATTTTTCGTTTTGTAACAAAAGTTTTTGCCATTTTTCACTTTGAAAAGAAAGTTATTGCCACAAAAAATTTTAATTTACCTTCAAATCCAAGTGAATAATATTCTGTGTATGTATATAACCCAAAGCTTCGCATATCTGGTACATGATAAGTGCTACAGCCGTCTCTGTCAATACGTAGTATTCCTCGATTACTCTGTCGAATAATTCACCTCCGGCGACACTAAAATCAAAAAATTTATTTTTTTTTTGAATTTTGTTACCTAAAAATGTCATTTTTTTATTTTTTTATCTAAAATGTCATTATTCTTCATTTTACAACTCAAAAACAACGTTTTTCTAAAATTTGTTACCTAAAAATGTCATTTTTTGAATTTTTTACCTAACAGTTTTCAATTTCAAACCCAAATATTCAAATTTCAAAAATTGCTCACATTTCCATAACCAAAATGACGTCATTGTTCGCCCCGGCGAATGCATCGTATATCTGAGCAATACATTTGTGTCGCATCTTAGTCATAATCTGGACCTAAAACCAATTTCCCTTCAAAATTTGTTGTTTACATCAAACAGAAATTATCTTAAAACATCGAAAACTTATTTGAAATTAATTTTAAAATTTAAAATACGGGCTCTCTTCTGTTGATGAGGCTCTAAAATAGCAGAAATGCGATGTTACACTTGACCATTTTGACAAAATTTTAATAAAAGAGCAATTATTTGTAAAATTCTTTAAAAATTTTTGTGAAATTGTATAATACGTTAATCTCAAAAGCATAATAAACAATATAAAACACAAATTTAGTAACAAAAACAGTCAAATATAACCAATTTGGGCTGAAAAACCCAACAAAAACCACAAAATTTGAAGATCCTGAACCCTAAGATAATATTGCTCATAACTCAAGGTAAAATAATTTGAAAAAAATCAAATTAAACAACAATAAACTACAAGATGACCTACTTCTTTTTTCCACTTTGGCCAAGTCCGCATCCTTCCTGAGCTTGATGAACTTGGCCGCCAAAGTTAGACCCGTTTCTTTTTCGACGCAGCGAAAAACTTTTCCAAATTTTCCTCTATAACAAGAAATTTAAGGTAAAATAAAAGCAGATAATTACGGTTTTCATACTTTTATAATAGAGAATTTAAAAAGTTGTAATTTTCACTATAGACCTTGTATGTATGTTTGTTAGAACAAACGTTGTGATCGAAAACATCCCACGCTACCTCAATATATCCAAAGATCAAAAAAGTTAACAAGAAAATTTTAAAATAAGATACAAAATTAAATCCATTGAACTTATACTCATTTTGTAGCAAATTTAGTCTTCCTTCAATCACACAAATCAACTTTCATCTCCCTCTACCACAACACAAGTTATGACCAAAAACCTGTAACCCACTCTACATAAATATCCCCAAATTCACAAATTCTGCCATAACTCCCTAAAATCATTAAAACTAAACAAAAAATACCAAACTTACTCTCCAATCTCTTCGTAGATCGTGTAAAAGTCGGTGATTTTCTGGTCCGTGCGTATCTTGACACCGTCACGGAAGGCAAATGGCGGAGTCCAGTCATCTGAAAGCATAGACATTACTAAGCATTTCGAAAACTTTAATTTTGCTTTTTTTTGGTTTTAAAAACCTTCAAGAAAAATGTTTTGTTAACGTTCTTTGGTAAATTGTTAAAATTTTCACTGATAAAAAATAAAACGAAATTTATGCTGCGCCCTATGTCGGCTTACTGCGCGCAGGCTGCAGCTCATCATTTTATGGGTTTTATGGTAAATTAGGTATAAAATAGGTAATAGTTGACTTTTATAGGTTCAAAACAACTAGAAAACTAGAAAAAAAATTAAAAAAATTTTTTTTTTAATTTTTGAAATTTTAAAATAGAAAAATTTTTGGTTTTTTGCTCATTCTTATGACAAAACTCGTTATAACTTGTTCTAAACAATGCAAAAACTTTTTATTAGCATTCCAAATCCTTAAATTTTAAATTTCATACCTAAAACAGTTAAAAAACTTTAAAACTTTCAAAAATTTACCGTTGAAATGGTCGATTTCGTCTACATGAATCGCGTCAGCCGGCTGTTCGGCGGCCGACATTTTGTAGTCATTGCCCAGGATCACCATGTTTGGTTCCTCCAAATTCGGTGGGCGTGGCTATAAACGTGAGAAAGTATTTGTCACAGTGCTTTATGTGATGGCGGGTTGAATATGCATATGTTGTTGGTTGGTGGGATTGGTCGGGTAAACAATATGGCTGATTTCACGTGACGTGTGTTATGTTGGTATTGTCCTTGTAGGTGTGTTTGGAAGGTATGATAATGCTTGTTGTTGCGGTAAAATATCAGAAGACTTGGCAAAAGTTATGAGCAAACGAGTACTTGTAGGTATGGGTCACCAGATGTAGTGCTTTTCAAAAGAAAGCTCGGTAAATGTCTTGGTACTGCACCAAATGGTACCAAAAAGAATACCAAAGTAATTCTATGGTATCTTAGCTTCAACTAGTACTAATTTCAGGTTTTACGACTCAACTATCGGCCAATAATGATCAAAATTCAAAGGTAAACCCAATGAAGAAGAATATTGTCTTGCTGGTGTATAAGCAATCAGTGATGAATAAATACCCAAAAATGGTTGAATACTTTTGTAGAGTAACGTAAAATACTGTAGATAGCCGTTTATGTTAACTTGGAGGCCTTTTGGACCTAAAATTATATAATGTTATCATTCAGAAATTGAAGAATAGCATCATATGAGGGAGGGCCGCGAATGTAATAAGTAGTTTTTAGACAATTTTCCTTAACTTTTCGTTGATCATATTGATTATATAGGCTTTTAAGACCTTATTGTACTATAATTTTCTATTTTCAACCTTTTTTTTCATTTTGAAAATAACAAAAAATCATCAAAATTTCAAAATGTTCGAATTGCCGTCATCAAAATTAATGTATTTTTGTTACTCTAAGCATTTTTAAGTCGTAAATGGTTAAAATACGCTCTAAACAGACATGAGCAATGGCCGGGCCTGACCAAAATCAAAAACGGTGAAAATTGGGCCCGGCTCGTTACTCATGTCTACTCTAAATACCTCCAAGTACATGTTTCAATTCCCATAAAATGAATTTGAATTTCAAAATCACATGAATTATTTATAAATTCTTTACATTTTAAAGTTTACTCATTTCCCTCCAGAAAAAAACATAATTAACTTATTGTTGTATATCGATGTAAAAAAATATTTGGTACTTTGAAATAACTTATTAATTTACATTTTTAAAAATCAATTTTAGAATGATTTCATCTCAGATTAATAACTAGTTCCCAATGACAAATATTCGATATCGAATAATTTGTGAATCAATGTTAAACTTTTCGACGATCACGAGACTGAAAACGAGGCTAACAGGATCGAAAATGTCTTTTTGTTGAAAGTGTGATTGAACAGAAATTCAACAAAAAAAATTTTTTGATTTTTAAATACAGGGTGTCCAGAGAAATTTGAAGGAAAGTACAGGCTTCGTTCTCAAAAACTAAGCATCTGATTGGCTTGATTTTTTTTTGTTAGGGAGCCAATAGCGGGCGGTTTTGGTTTTGTACAATTTTTTACCGATTCGGCGGACGATCGGCGGAGGGTCAGCGGAGGCATAAAACCTATTGGTTCATACACAAAACTACAAATTTTTTGCTCAGAAATGCTACGATGTCTTCCGTTGGGTTTCTATTTTTTTAATTTTCATATTTAGTCTTCGCGTCGGCGAAGGAAGATGACGTGTGGTACCGTTTTGTCGGCGAAGGCCATAACTCGGCTCAAACTCAATAGTTTTTTCTTAAACAAAAACCATTGAAAAAGTCGGGTTAAGGTGCTTAAAATCACGCAATATTGATAGTTACTAAAAAAAGGTACTAGTTGTTTACATACAAGTGGTACTGATTCGTCGGCGGAGACCATAACTCGGCTCAAACTTGACCAATTTTCTTCAAACAAAAACCGTCTGCAATGTTTTTTTGAGATGTTTATTGTTACGCAATCTCGTACGCAATACAAAAAGGTACTTATTGTTTGCACACAATTCGTACTGTTTTGTCGGCGGAGGCCATAACGCGGCTCAAAGATGCTGGTTTTTCTTGAAACAAAAATCATTGAAACTGTTGTTTTAAGTTGTTTATTGTTACACGCTAAACGTTAAAAATTTTTTTTTTATAAAAGATTTTTTTAATGTTGGGATATTTTGTATAAGTAATGATACCAAACAATTTAAAAAACATGCTAAATGAAATTTTATAAAACTGTTTATTACTGACTAACTAAGGTTTTGGTTTGAAGCAAAATGAACAAGTTTGAGCTGAGTTATGGCCTCAGCCGACAAATAAGTACCACTCTGTATAACCGATCAGTACCTTTTTTTATTTACTAACGAGAATGCGTAACAATACTGTAAACCCCTCAAACAAACAGTTCAAATAATTTTTGTTCGAAGAAAAATGGACTTCTTTGAGCCGCGTTATGGCCTCCGCCGACAAAACAGTACGAATTGTGTGCAAACAATAAGTACCTTTTTGTATTGCGTACGAGATTGCGTAACAATAAACATCTCAAAAAAACATTGCAGACGGTTTTTGTTTGAAGAAAATTGGTCAAGTTTGAGCCGAGTTATGGTATCCGCCGACGAATCAGTACCACTTGTATGTAAACAACTAGTACCTTTTTTTTAGTAACTATCAATATTGCGTGATTTTAAGCACCTTAACCCGACTTTTTCAATGGTTTTTGTTTAAGAAAAAACTATTGAGTTTGAGCCGAGTTATGGCCTTCGCCGACAAAACGGTACCACACGTCATCTTCCTCCGCCGACGCGAAGACTAAATATAAAATAAAAAAAAATTGTACAAAACCAAAACCGCCCGCTATTGGCTCTTTAACAAAAAAAGAATCAAGCCAATCAGACGCTTAGTTTTTGAGAACGAAGCCTGTACTTTCCTTCAAATTTCTCTGGACACCCTGTATAAAATTTCTAAAAAATTAAGAAAATATTAATATACACAAAGGCTTGAGCCGGCTTGGGGATAAAGCATGAGACTAAAGGCTAAAATATGAGGCTAGGGGCCAAGACATAAGGCCAACAGGTAAAGCATAAGGCTAAGGGTTTTATTAGGCTAATGCTAGTGCCAGGACTAAAACACGGAAGGCTAGGCCTCAGGCTAAAACTAAGTCTGGTGATGGGGCCGGAATTAAAGAATGATGCTAGGACTAAGTTTTAGGCTAGTCCTCAAGTTAATGATAAGGTTAAGCTTAGGGCTAGGTCAAGAATAAAGCATGGGGCTAGGCCTAGGGCTAGGAAACTAGGATTCAAGCTAAACTAAGGCTAAGGTTGAAGCTAGGGCTCTGGGCTAGGGCTGCCTTTATTTTCAGACCTGACCTAACCTAAATTTGGGTCGTGGCCGGCTCGATATTAGACTGGGCTCATTTCTCTTGTCTAGGGCTACGGCTATAACTCTAAGGATTTGAAAGAAAGATTGTTAAGACCAAATTACTAATGTTACCACTTCCACTCTAACTATATATTATACTAACCAAAGCCATAAGATACCCAAACCCCTACAACTATAAAAAATCAAAAAATTTTGGGAAACCGAACGCGTATGTTTCCGATTATCCGTAAAACGGCGGCCCAAAACTCGTGAAAAGTTGGAACAAACGTGTTCGAAAAAATACCTTCCCCCAGCCCTCCTCAAGACATAAACCTTGAGGACTTATGACGGAAAAAACATGAAATTGTGGGCATTTGATCCGGGATTGGCATCCACTTTCCGAAAGTAAATAACCCCTCGATCAATGTGGAACAAGGTGTGTTGGGTCAATAGTGCACTTTTGGTGTTTCAAAACTAGGGTTTTGGAAGGGTTTTAGTCAAATGGCAGATATGGGTTAAAGAAAACGTAAAAAGCTTGATGACGTCAATTTTTATATATTTTTAGATCTATAGGCAAGAAGTTTCAAATAACATTGACACTTTAACAAATACAGTATGAGCCGTACTCAACGCCTTTGCAAAGCAAAAAATAGTACAAACGTATAATTAAAATTAAGCCCAAAAAATTTTAAAAATGTTTCAAAAAAACTAAAATATTATCTTTTTGAAAAAGCAAAATAAACCTTACTAACATACTAAATCTACACTATGTAAAATAAAAAAAACTAAACAATTTTGGTACCAGCTAAGGCAAAATAAAGATCTTGGCCTAAACGGCTGTCATTGAATGGCTACGGTTATTTAAAAGCATATGTCGAGTAAACCTAAGCAGAAACTTAAGCAAGCTAAACAAGTAGCCCACGCCACTAAGTCTAAGCGCCTAAATCTAAGCGACTAAGCAGAAGTGAATAAGCCTAAGCGACTAAGCCTAAGCAACTAAGCCTAAGCGACTAAGCCTAAGCAACTATGCCTAAGCGAATAACCCTAAGTGACTAACCCTAAGCGAATATGCCTAAGCGACTAAGCCTAAGCAACCAAGCCTAAGAAATTAAACTTAAACAGCTAGGTTTAGGCGGCTAAGCTTAAACCAATAAATCTGAGAAACTAAGCCTATGATACTAATCCTAAGCAACTAAACTTGAACGACTTATTGTTAGCCCACGTGACTAACTAATATAAGCAACTAAATATAAAACAAAAAGCTTAATCAGGCAAAACTTAAGTCTAACTGACTAAATCTGAAAGACTAATTGTAACCTCATGAAACTAAGTTTCAGACTTTAATTAAGCCTAAGCGACTAAGCCTAAGACTAAACCGTGCCAATGAGAAGCCAAAGTCCCAAAAATAATCAAAAACCTATGTAAAACCGCCAAATTTCAACACACCTGAACTAGTCCGAACACTCCATGAACGTGTTGTTGTCCCAACACCGTTCACGTTTCTCTAGTTTGACTTTTTTCGAATCAAAATAAGCGTTTTTTCGGCTTAAAGCGCAAAAGTCAGAGCCAAAGGCAAACAAAATTCCTATCCGCTCTCACTTAATGTGTAAACAAAAAAACTGATCCCTTAATCCAGACTCACAAATATTATTTTGTTTTTGATGGCAGTTTTATTAGGCTTGACTGTTTCACACTTCATCGTCAACATTTTACGTCATCAATTGTAGTGGTTGGTTAAAATTTGTGGTACGTGATTTACATTACAATAAGGTTTTTTACTGTACCGTAAGGTTTTTTACTGATAAGAATGTACGAGTTAAGAGTATAAAAGACAAATCTAATTAGCCTTAGCTTAACTCTTAGCCTTATACTAAACCTCAAACTTATCCTCAACCCTAGCCCCAACTATAGCTGTAGCTCTACTTACAAGGAAAGTACCCTACCTGCCCCGCTCTGATTGACTTCAAACTTTTTATATAGAATGATCATGTAAATATAAGACCTTCAGCAAAGTACTAAATTGCGCTTTCCAGTCAATCTCCAGAAAATCGATATCAAAAAAACTGCGTTTAGAATTTCCCGCCAAAATGGCATTGTGATTCAAGCTTATAACTTTGTCATTTTTTGACTTTTAGACATTTTTCTTTGATATACTAGTAGAATAGCTTTAAATAAACCTAAATTTTTAAATTTATAAGCATAGCTTGTCTGGAAAGTTGAAAAAAGTGCTTAAAACACAATGCCAAATTTAGCAATTTTGCGGAAAACCCAAATAACCCGAATTTAAAACTCAAAAGCGCAAGTTAACATTTTTTATGGGTACTATTAGTAGTACAAGTTATTTATTATATAAAAATTTTGAGCTGATTTTGAGCGGGTTAGGTAGGATACTCTCCTTGTAAGCAACGTTTTTCATAGACATGAAACTAAAAAGTAAGAATAAAACAATAATAACAAAAAAAGACGAAAAAGCTGAAAAAAACAAAAATTTATTAGCTTATAAATATAAAAGCTTACTGTGCGCCAAAAGTTCTGTTACACGGTCTTTTAATAATATTTATGTAACAGAACTTTTGGCACACCCTGTACTTATCGTAAAAAAATTAAAATTCCTAATTTAAAAAAGTAATTCACAAAATTTTTAAGTTTTTTGTATTTGAAAATAACACAAAAGGTCACCTAAAATTAATGTTGTTAAGACAAAAATGTCAAACCCTATTAAAACAAGCCCAAGGCACAAAAAACCAAACGGATAAGGACCAAAAAACAGGGAAACGTTTGATTTCTCTTTCTCGAAAACTCTTGGTTAGGTGGGTTATTTTGGTCGAAAAACCGACTCGGGCCGCTTTTTGAATCAGCGGGCCGTCAAGAGAGGGAGTGGGGGATAATTGGGAGATAACACGACAAAACTCAACTGCCTACGTATAACACATATTTCATAAATAAAACAGCGATTTCGTATGAGTGAGGGTGGTTTTTTGAATAAGAATTTGTTGCTAGGGTTAAGGCTGGCTAGGTCAATGGGTACAGGGTTGGGGTAGAGGTACAATTAGGCATCGCTTTGAGCCTAGAGTGGGCTTGAGTTAAGTTAGAAAAAGCTGGGGTAAAGAAATGGTATAGATAGAGTAAGACCAGGGACGTCGTTTGGGGGAGGGGGAGGGGGGGGTACACCCTCCCCCCAGAGCCGATCCGAAAAAAATTGCACAGGTAGGTGCAATTTTTTACCTGTACGCGAAAAAACAAAAAAAAAAATTTTTTTTTCGACTTCTCCCTCCCCCAGAGAAAATCCGTAGCGACGTCCCTGAGTAAGACATAATGGTAAGATAAGGGTAGAGCAGAGCAATGTAGCCTTGGATATGGTAGGTAGGAAAAGGTAGGGTAGAGTAGAACATAACGGGTAGGGCAAGCTAATGTAGAACAAAGCAATAGGGTAGGGTAGGGTAAGGTAGGGTAGGGTAGGATAAAAAATAAAATTTAAAGTACCAACTGACATGAATAAAGCATTTATTTATGAAAAATGGCATGTAATTTTTGCTTTTCATAAGGTTAAGAATAAGTCTTCGAATCAGTAGCAACATTGTTAGCTTTGTCCAAATCAACTTCAACTTCATAGATGGGGTGACCCATAACTTTGGCATTATATATAAATTCTTTTGGAATCAAGTGTCGTAGCATGTGGGGCTTGCCTAAAAAAATTTATTGTTATATATTAGGTTGAACAGAAGTAGCGGGACACTTTTTAATTATTTTTTAACTAAAAGTGTCCCGCTACTTTTGGTTCAATTTAATATTTAAAAATATATTCTATTCATTGAATTTTTTTAAACGTATTTTAAATTAAAAATTGTAATAAACTATGGCATCTTGCCTGAAAAAACTAAAAAGACTGTTTATGATATAAACATACCATTACAAGTTCCAATTAGTCTAATATACGGCTGGAATGTACCGTATTCCTTTTCAAAGCCATCAAGTGTGACAGGCTTTCCGTCTGTGACGTGGACAATGGCAAGGTCATCGTCGAAGAATTCTAAATTTTTTTTAAAATTTATTAAAGCAGGCCAGTGTTTTGCCCGGACCGGCCCGGTTCAGCGATTTTTTTTGTGTCCAGTCCGGTCTAAACTCAAAATTTTTGGGTCTGGTTTGCAAAAATTTTTGTTTGTTCCGTCCGGTCCTGTCCGGCCGGGCAAAACTCTGTAGCCGGCAGTAGACGGATAACCAATAGACGAATAAAGAACCCAGACCGTGCCTTGGTTTGGGGGTCGTCCTTTGGGTTCTTGTGTGCCAGCGTGACCTGATTTTTTAAAAATTTGTCTTGGCCTGGCTTAGTGAACCCCTTTCAAACCTAGTCCATATGCAATTTGGTTTATTCTTGGCCCTCTGCATAGCCACTGCTCGGACCCTTGCTTAGCCACTGCTCATCCTCTGACTTCCTCTATCTGTCCCTTATCCAGGCAAAAAAATGTGAAAGAGACAGATCTGGGCCACAGCTTGCGTGTTTGAAAACAAATGGGTCATGGTCTCGAAGGCCCAGCGGACCCAGCCCTTTTACCCGTTCAGTCTACAGTCACTTATAATGAAAGCTTTCAACATAAAATTTAGCTTACGCCTTCCATCGAAATTTAACTTACGATCTTCATCATGAAGACTGATAGTAGTCGACAGGTCTCTTTCACAAATTGCATTGATTTCGACAGTAACGTAATATCGATTTGGAGCAAACTTTTCAAGAAGATCAGACGATGCTGTAGTAAGCAGCAGAAAAGCAGTAAAATATGACGTGAAGCTTAACATAATATACAATATTATTACAGTACAAACACCGGTATTCAATGACACGTTTAAAACTCGTATTTTACAAATATTTAATTTTATATTTGATTCAATTTTTAACTTTCTGTTGCAGTTTTATATCTATTTCTTTATTTTTTTTGAAATTACACATAGTTTGGGTTGTGATTGTTAGTCACTCTGTGAAAATTTTGAAATTTTAATAGCTTTTTTTTTAATTTTGGTTTATATTATCTTTCAGAAGAGAATATGCTATGTTTATTTCAAGTTTCAGGTCACAATTTAATTTTTAAAATAATAAAATTCCATAAAAATAGTATGGCAACAACAGCGAATATGTGGCGTAAATAAGTAGATTGTTGACTTGAAGGTGTCAGTTTACTAATTTGCCTAAAAGTACTGTCTTGTTTAACATAATTAGCGTTTTAGCCGAGCCCGAGAGCCCTAGCCCCAGAGCCCTAGCCCTATAACCCTAGCCCAGAGTCCTAGCCCAAAGTCCTTGCCCAGAGCCCTAGCGTAAGAGCCCTAGCCTGAGAGCCTTATCTTCAGAGTCCTAGCCCAAAGCCGTTACGCCATTCCCTGTCTAGCTTCCACTGGTTGTATTATATAGTCCCACTCTTAGTACTTTACATAGTTCCATTTACTATAGTACTGTCTCTTACAATGTAAAATACTCTAAGAGCTCGCCTCACCTGTAGACAAGTCCAATTTGACTTTGGTGATTTTCTTTTCTTCTCCTTTACTGTAAATTCCGTCTTGACTCAGATCGACCTTAATACGAGTGGTATCAGCCCGGCCTAAAAAGCAAATTTTGTTATTATCAGCTAGCTTTAAAACTTTTTTTTGAAAAATTTAAAAAATATTTTTTTTAAAACGAGTAATAACTTACTACAGTTGTGAACAACATACAAGTACGGATCAAACTTCATAAATCCACTTTCCGCTCCACTGATTGAGAACTTGCCTTCATCTGCTTTAGAAACATTTGTGGTAGCTAATTTGTCGTCTTCGATCGCTGAAAAGTGTCATTTTTAAAAATCTCTGTGCTCAACCAAAAAACTTACGGTCCCAGTCGTACAACACCACAATTGCTTCATCAGTATAAGTCTTTCCTTCACAAAGAAGTTCACCCTGGATGTCGATGAAGTAATCCTTTGGGATTATACCTCCAGAGACTACTGTCACCAACAAAAATGTAAGAGAGATAGACTTCAACATTTATTGAATACGGATTCAGAATTTTTGTGATGGATCTTTGAAGAGTATTGACATTATATTATGTATTATGTTTTTCATGATTACTCATTTTGTTGTGATTCAATAACAATTTTTGGAGAATATTGACATTTTCATAGATTTGTATTACAATTTGTCATTTCTTATGATTTTTTTTTATGAATCAACAACAAAAGAATCAATCGGCAACAAAAAATAAACTAAAAATATGCTGTCGTTGCGACAAATTTTTTCTGAGAGTGGTAAAGCCAGAAAATGTTTTTTCCAAAAACTCACAGGGGTGGGGACCACGTTCAACTTTTTAAAAAATTGTTTTCCAGACAATTAAATAAACCTACATTTTTAAAGTTGTAAGCGTAGCTTGTTTGGAGTCGAAAAAAGTCCTTGAAACACAATGCCAAATTTGCCAAATTGGCGGAAGATCCAAATATTTCAAACTTAAAACTCAAGCGCAAGCCGAAATTTTTTATGAGTACTATTGGTAATGCAAAGGGTGTTAGAGATTGAAGTTTAGATATCATTTTTCTAATTTACTTATTTATTTTATTAATTTGACGTCTTTTCCTCGATATTGATGTTGTTGTAGACAACTTCCTCAAGAACCAACACTATCATTATGAAGCTACACAAAGCAGACGTCATTTCCACTGAACTTATCGCAGGAATTTGGAAGTCTAAAACAATAGTAAACATAACATAACAATAAACAATATCAAGAACAATGGTTTTCGTTTGACCATCAATTTGTGTTCCTTCAATTTGGACAACAGACTCATGGTTACCTTCAATGGTCCTCACTTTACTCTTGCCAGATTTTACACAAGTTACGCCCCGAAGTCTCATTAGATGTCATTTATTAATTTAAAGGCTAATGTTTACTGTGATATGCAATATTAGGCTTAGCTATAGCTCTAACTCTATGCTAATTCTTCTTCACAACTACCCTCAATTATTAGGTAAGAAAAACGTTCCGACATAAAGAACCCGCCATACCTTTCCTGTACTTTCCTGTAACAAATGGCGGGTTCTTTATGTCGGGACCTAATAAATGTTATTTCTTAAAATAAAAAAATTTGAAATAGATGCAAGGTTTATTCATCGCCTCAATTTAACGTATACAAACTATGTTAAGCTTTTGTGTGAAGCGAGTAAGCAGAAAAGAGTAGGTTTTGGGACAGCATGTTGCCATGTTTAGACCAGTTTGCCTGAAAATACACGTTTTCGCTTTTTATATTAGGTTGTTCACATAGTTCTGGGCCTCTTCTCAAAGCCAATTTGTGGAGCACGGGGCGCAGAATTAAGTGAACATCCTAATAATAGGTTAAGCCAAAAGTAGCGGGACGATTTTTGATTGAAAAATAAATGAAAAGTGTCCCGTTACTTTTGGTTAAGCCTAATGAACTCGTCAACCTTTTAACAGCCGGCTATAACCTTAGCAATGTGTTTCCAAATTACCTGTGGACAATTCCAGCTTAACATGTTGAATCTGTTCCTCTTTGTCCTTTGGCACGACAAACTTTTTGCCAAGGTCGAATTCGGTGGTTATGTTGTCTTTGCTCTCTAAACTCAAGTAATATTACCTCTTTTTGCTATTGGTATCAGTATGGCAACAAAATATTTTATTTTGCGTCTTTTCTTTTTTTAGTACATTAAATACTGTAAAACGAAGACTTACAAGGAAAGTGCCCGACCTGCCCCGCTCTGATTGACTTCAAACTTTTTATATAGAAAGATCATGCAAATATAAAATCTTCAACAAAGTACTAAATTGCGCTTTCCAGGAAATCTCGAGAAAATCGAGATTAAAAAATGATATTTTGAATTTCGCGCCAAGTTGGCATTGTGTTTCAAGCTAATAATATTGTCATTTTTGATTTTTAATAATTTTTTTGATATACTAGTAGAATACCTTTAAATGAACCTACATTTTTAAATTTGTAAGCGTATCTTGTCTGGAAAGCTGAAAAAAAGTGCTTGAAACACAATGCTAAATTTGCAAAATTGGCGGGGAACTCAAATAATTTAAATTTAAAACTCAAAAGCGCAAACTAAAATTTTTTATGGGTACTATTGATGGTACAAAGAATTCATATAAAAATTTTGAGCTGATTCTGAGCGGGGCAGGTAGGGTACTTTCCTTGTTAGATACTGTCTTTGTTGACTTACTGCAATTGTGGGTAACTGACAAATAAGGGTCGAATCTTCTGAATCCTGATTCTTCACCGTCGATTTTGAAGACGCCTTTGTCTTTTTCGGAAGCGGTGACATTGTTCAGCTCATCGTCCTGTGTTATCACTAAAAAAACAATTTTTGATAAACAACTACCGTATCCTATTTTACCTTACCCTACCCTACCCTACCCTATCCTACTCTACCCTACTACTTTACTCTACCGTACTCTACTCTATTCTATACTACTGTACCCTACCGTACGCTGACCTAACTTACTCTTCTCTTCCTTACCCTACTACTGCACTGTACTCTATCCTAATCTATCATAAGCTGTCTTGCCATACTCTATTGTATCCTACATTGCCATACTATACTGTACTTCAACTTACCCTACCTTACACTAGCTTTTTCTGACCTTCCATAGTGATGTCCTCTTCCTATAATACTCATTTAAAAAAAAAACAAAAATGACTTACTATCCCTGTCGTACAAGAGAACTTCAGCTGGTTCTGTGTAGTTCTTGCTATCACAAAGTAATACACCTTCAACTCTGAGAATGAAAGTCTTTGCCGAGACGGCAGTGGCGACGATGAAGAGGATAGAAATGGTTTTCAACATAATTTTAGTCAATAGATATGTTTTCTGCTCATTCTCAATGTTCTTTACTATATATAGAGAAATTTTAATTACAAAGAAATCATTATCTTTAGCTACAGATGTGATTCAAACAATGTGTATTACAATTTGTCAGCTTTTCTTCGATTGAATCAGCTTTCAAGACAATAATTGTTTTTGAAATTTTTGTTAAACGAAATATATTTGTTTTTGAAAATTGATCTTTATTTCAATATCCATTTTTAAAAAATACGGTAGCAAAGTAAAATTAAAGAATGATAATATTGATGCTATAAACAGTAGCAAAGTAAAATTAAAGTAGATAATATTGATGATAAAAAGCTAAAAATCGATAACATTTTTAAAAAAAATGATCATTCTTCATTAGCCAGTTCAAACGTATTTTCATAAACAAATTTGACACAGTTTGGAGGGTCTTCAAGTTCGTAGACATAGTTTTGGTCCAAATTGAATTCTTTCTTTATCGGCTCTTCACTATCTGAAATAATACATTAGTTGGATTGCAATAAGTCAACTTATTATGCATACCTTAAAAAAAATTTTTTTAGATTGAAATTTGAAATAGGGTTACCCAAAAAATACTGTACAGTGAAACACCTATATAACGAATTGCTGGAGAATTCCATATCTGTACGCAGGGCTGGGCGGGGACTTTTAGTCTAGAAGCGGGGATCGAAAAAATTCGACACAGGTTTCCTATAAATCCACAGGGGGGACCATGTTCAACTTTTTTTCGAAAATTTTTTTCTGGGGGAGGGGGGGGGGGGGTTCTCACCTCCCCTCAGCGCCCGGCCCTGTTTGTTCGTTTTACAAATGTTACAAATTCTTTGTGTAGTATGGTGCATGTATGATGAAATTTTAAGTATACTCGCTACTCTACCATACCTTATTACCCAAATCTACTCAACTCTAAGATCTTTTTTTATCCTATTCTACACTGATTTACCCTGCCTTAGTAAGGAATTGCACAAAATGTTCCTCGGCTTTTAAAACGAGATCTGTATATTAAATATTATTTTTTAATTTTACAGTATGAAAGAGCATAAAATTAGCTAGTTACGTAATTGGTTTCAAATGCGCTGCGTAGGTTTGGGCGAGGATTTAAAGGTTGTTTGTTAAGCAGAAATTTCATTAATAATGGGTTTGATATATACGAATTCTAATGAAAAAGAACAGTTATTAGGTTTAAACATACCACATAGATGAACGACAAATAACAAAGGCTCAAACTTTGACCAGCCCTCTTCTTTGCCTTCAATCTCAAAAGTGCCATTCATCACATCGACGGCTTTGGTGAAGGCTAGCCGGTCGTCGAAGAACACTAAATTCAAAATTTTTAAGAAAACCTATTTTTTCCTACCCTACTCTACATTACACTACTCTACTTTACTCTACCTTACCTTACTATACTCTAAATCTTCTCTTCCCGTTTCAAACTTAGGCTGAAAATGGTACAACTAGTACCAGTTACAACTTTTTTCTCAATTTAAAGTGCCTTTTTTGTAAATAACTTACAGTCCTGATCAACAAGTGTAATGTCACCACTAGCAGGCCTTCCATGACATAGTAGTTGGCCTCTTACTTTGATAATGTAGGAGTCACGGAATGGTAAGACTTCACTTTTACCTAATATCGACAGTAGTAATAGTGATAAAAAAACAATTTTTATCAACATTTTTTAATTCAAAGTTTCAAAATTTACTAACATTGTCGTTTATATTATAGTAGAATGTATATAAAATAAACTTTGATTCATATGTATACGTATATGGGTATGGGAATTCAGTTTTAATTTTGTCGCTAAAATTGCTATGAAATTCTTTAAAACATTCTGTTTTGCCTTTCCTTATTTTACCTTGCCCTATCCTATCTTACTATGTCATATATTATTCTATAGGCCAACCTTTGCTTACTCTACCGTACCATACTCTGCCCTATCATGTCCTATGCTGTCTTACCTTATCATGCTTTATCTTTATATTATTTTGCACTACTCTAGCTTAACTAACTCTACCTTTTCCTACTCTACCGTACATTGCCATATCATGCTTCATCATACCACACCATTTCCTAACTTACTCTACTCTACTTTACCTATCTCTACTGTACCCTACCTAGTATTATAGCTCTCTTTCTCTCTACAATACATATCTCCACCAAAAAACAAAATTTTATCAATTTCTACTATAGTTTGTTAACCTTAACTTCGATGCTTTAATAGTGCATTTTTGATCAAATAATTGGTTTCCAATGGAGTTGTGTACCTATTTTGCTTGATGACATGAGCAAGATCACTGAATATTGCTCGAGTTTCTTTGTCCAAATGAGCAAAGAATTTATCTGGATGGTGCCAAAACGTCTTCTTTTCATTCAACAGCTCTGTTTCTATCTGAAAATGGCATAATGTTACCTAAAATTTCAAAAATTGCAAATGTTAAATTTTTTGAAATTTCTAATAAAAAATTTCTAATTGTACCCAACTCTACTATACCCTCAAAATTTCTAATTGTACCCAACTCTACTATACCCTCCCAAACAATTTTTTAAAGTATATAGCTTATGACGCCGTATTTTACACAAAACCCACCTCAGGGCTCCACAGTTTTTCACAAATAGCTTCGTAGTGCTTCTGATTCTCTACTGTAACATTCATCGCACTTCGCACCCATGGTACGTGTGTTCTGTGGTGTACTGCGTACAGAACGTACAAGAACGACTCGTAATCATCATTAATGGTGACATTTCGTTGATGCATAGCCATTGAGCAGTAACCCCAGTCGGTGAGCTTGATTATTGCACTGGAATAGCAAGGTTATTATATTATTAGATAAATAGAATAAGAAGCACAGTAAGAGTGCTGCTGATATTATAGTAGTGAGTACAGTATAGTGAGATAGGGTTAGGCAAAATAAAGTAAAGTACAACTAAGGCAGGGTAAATCAAGGGGTAAGGGTATGACAATAGTTGAGTAAGATAAAAGCAGGGCAAGGCGGAAGCAGGACAGAGTAGGGCAGTTCAAGGTAGGGCAAAGACAGAGTATTGATATAGATAAGGCAAAGCACGGCATGTCAAGGCAATGCAAGGAAAGGCAAGGCAAGGCAAGGCAAGGCAAGGCAAGGCAAGGCAAGGCAAGGCAAGGCAAGGCAAGGCAAGGCAAGGCAAGGCAAGGCAAGGCAAGGCAAGGCAAGGCAAGGCAAGGCAAGGCAAGGCAAGGCAAGGCAAGGCAAGGCAAGGCAAGGCAAGGCAAGGCAAGGCAAGGCAATACTTACTCTTGTATCTCCTTCCTAAAGCTACCTTGATAAGCCGGTACTAGATGTCCGCTTTGTAAAAATCCGAATTCGAATAGATTATTTTCGGTAATTTCAACAAAAATAGAAGTTGGTGACAAATTCAAATGAACTCTTCCACGTTGATGATACTCATGTAGAGCGTTGAGAAATTTCAAAGCAAACTGAACCAGGTCTTCGACTGACATTCTTTCTGCCCAAAAAGTTTCTTGCAGTCGAATATACCTCTTGTCTCTCTGAAATTAAAATTTTAAACTATTTTTATGTTATGTTACAGTAAGCTTCAATTTTATAATAAAAAAATAGAAACCATACAGAACTAAGAAGAATAGCTGTGATTTTGACATTATCATTTCGGATCAGCTTGATAAACTGCGAGTACTCATCCAATCGACCAAATAAATACACTTCATTTTCGGTCAGTTCACACAGTAGATCGTAGTAGGCCTAAAAAGGTTTCAAATAGTAAGAACTTTCTTTACCAAGCATAAAATAACAAAAACATTCTTTACCAAGCAAACAATAGCAAGGACTTTCTTTACAAAGAATTAAATAACAAGAACTTTCTTTACAAAGTATTAAATCGCAAAAACTTTCTTTACAAACCTCAAAATGGCAAGAACTTTCTTTACAACCCGCAAAATGATACAAATTCGAACTTACATCAACATAATTGTATTTTATACCATGTTTATGTATTTCATAAGCCACCAAATGCTCTTCATGTTTATTATAAAGCTTTACGACACCATAGGGTCGAAGTGGAGCATCGGTTTCGTAGCTGAAACTAACATAATTTAGTGATAACTTTATTGGAAATTTATTTTTTATGTTACAATATACTTTACGGACACAAAAATACCCTACCCTACCCTAATTAAATTTTGAAAAAATCCTAAAGTACAACGAAAAACTCACGTCACACCGTTCCAATCAACAGTTGGACGATCGGTTGGCACTAAAACAATATAGCGATAGTTTCGAATTTGCACTGGCCTTTTTTTCGTCACACAATTACCCATTTCCACGAAACCGACCGGTATAAAATTTACAAATAAGATAATTTTCACAAATTTCATTTATAATATGAAAAATTAAATTTTATGCATAAAACTTATGTTTTCAAAAAAAAATTTTTATTTTTGAAATGCAGTAGAACAACGAATCACTTGGAGATTCTAAATTTGTTCGTTACGACAGGGTTTTGGTCATAGTTTCGCCTTTTGGGCCCGGCCGGATTTTTGAATTTATTTTTTCCCGCCATACCCATATCTCAAAAACTGTAATAAATAGAGAAAAACTAATGGCATCTTCTAGAAAGGTCAACACCATCCGAAAGCCAGGGAATTAAAAGACCAGTTCGCCCATTCAAATATCATGCATTCTGTCGCAAAAAGCGTCGAAAATCAGGCAATTTCAATCAAAATCATTTTTCTCAAAAAACCTGAGTGGGTCGGTGTCGAAATGAATTTTCCAATTTGGAACCGACCTGCTTAGGTTTTTTGCGAAAAAAATGAACGTCGAATTTTTACAACAGAATGCCAATGATATTTGAATGGGCGAAATGGTCCTTTAAGAGTTTTTCATTATGCAGAGTGTCTGTTATAGAGGAGTTCGTTATACAGAATTTTCACGGCATATAAACAAAGTCAAACAAAATTTGATCGTTTGGCTTTTTTAAAATTTTTACTAGTGAAATTTTAAAAATGCTTCATGTAAACCTAATAGTACTGAAATTAAAACATTTTATTCGCTAATTATAAAAAAAATTAAAATTTTAGGTTTGAAAAGTATTGTCCAAGGTTGTACGCTCAGTCATTTGTTATGTCATTGTCATTTGTTATGTCACGCTATGTCATTTGCTTTTTCTTGGATCGGTTCTGTTTCAGGTTTATTATTTGTTTCTGAGCTTTGCTTCATTGTTCTTAACAAGCCATTGATGGTTGTTTTTCAAAACCCTTCTATGGTTCCATCTACAGCTCATTGCTCTTGTTCTCCCTTGTCCTGGTCCATCTCCATGCGTGTCCGGGCCCGATCAAGGGATGGCGAGGCAGCAGGTCACCTCGCCATCCAAAACGGTTTTGGCTTCTGAAACTACACACACATACACACACACAACACACACAAATCAAATGCAAAACTTAACCCTATTAGTAAGATCAACTTACGTACACAAGTTACAGCTTGTATTTGACGAAAATTAAACGCGAAAAAGTGACAATATAATACACAATAAATTACGTACACAAGTTATAGTTTGTTATTTAAAAAAATGATAGACGAAGCAAAACAGGGTAGTGTTAAAGATAATGTAAAAAGAACAAGAGATATTAAGAGTTAAATTACGTACATAAGTTATAAATTTTTATTTAATAAGAAATGTAAAAAATAATAAGAAATGATAGAAATAATTACGTACACAAGCCATAAATTGTTATTTAAAAAATTTTTTTTTGTAAAAACAAAATCTTTCATAGAAAATTTTAAATTACGTACACAAGCTATATATTGTTATTTAAAAAATAATGTAAAAAATAAAAATATTAAAAACTATCTAAAATTGTAAAAGTAAAACCAAAACCCAGGCAAGACATAAAGCATAAGACCTTAAAAAACATTTTACAAAGTAAAAAAAACAAACTAAAAATACTGATCATATCCCAATATTATATAAAATTTATTCCAAGAGCTTATTTTTCATCTTCACCATCCCAAAACGAACCAATAGTTTCTGACTGAAAAACACACTTCCGGTCCCCTATTTATAGTAATTTTTATCAATTCTAATTTCTGCGCAAAAAACTCGCACTAATATTCCCCTGTAGCAAATGCAATACGTAAGAGGTCATGTTCGATTATAATTTCCTTTGAGCAATGCATAAAACGCTATTACATAATGCTGCCGATATCGGTAGAAATACAAACTATAGTAAAAGTTTATCGTGGAAATATTTCAAATTTTCTGCCGTTTTGCTAACAAGGCAAATAGAAAGTGAAGCAAACTACCCTACCCTACCCTATCCTACCCTACCCTACCCTACCCTACCCTACCCTACCCTACCCTACCCTACCCTACCCTACCCTACCCTACCCTACCCTACCCTACCCTACCCTACTCTACCCTACCCTACCCTACCCTACCTTATCCTACCCTACTCTACCCTACTACTTTACTCTACCGAACCCTACTCTATTCTATCCCACCGTACCCTACTCTACCCTACCCTACCTTACCCTACCCCACCTTATCTTACTCCATCGTACTCTATCACACCTTACGTTGTCTTACCCTGTTACAGCTTAGCTTGCAATACTATATTCTACTCTAATTTACCCTATCATATCCTACCTTACTCACTCTAAAACGTTCTACTCGGCCCTGTCTCTAACATGCCTTACCATACTATACCATGCCTTACCATTTAATTTTATAAAGTACACAGTCGTATTAAAAGTCTAAACTATAAATTAAAATTACAACATGGTCTGAAATAAAAGTAGAATAACAAAGCACAATTCAAAGCCATCATGATTCATAATATCCGCCTGATAAAACCGTTTCTTCTTAAATTTTCGAATTTTTAAAGATTGATTTAAAAAGTCTGGCTCTATTAAATTATCTATATTGTAGTAAAGGCACTCTATTGTAGTATGAAGTTAAAACTACTAATACATCTTACAGTATTATCATATTTTGTAGTAAAAATGTAAGTTATAGCAGTTTTACATACAAAAGTTTTTTATTTTTCATCTAATGTTACTGATAAGAACTTATATGAAAACACTTTAGTAAAAGTTTGTAAGTTATGTCATTAAAAACGTTTTTTTAGAAAATGTGAAATGTACGCTTTGTTAATATCTGGATCAAATACCTGGGACAACTATCGTCATCAAGCTGACGTTTGTCACGCTTATCAGATATTGAAAGCTGAAGGAGTTGACCCGAATAACATTATTACAATGCTGTATGATGACATCGCTTTTAATCGCTTGTAAGTTTCAAAAGCTTTTAAGTAAGCCTAAGCGCTTAAATACGTTTATAAGCGTACTCAACTTAATTCTGGTATGCCTAATTTTATAAATCGTAATTCTGAGCCTAGCAAACCAAAGCTTAGTAAGTCTGAGACTTTTAAGACCAAACCTAATAAGCTTAGCCTTACTAAACCTAAGCCTATAACGCCTAAGTCTACCAAGCCTAAGTCTCCTAAGCCTAACAAGTCAAACCCTACTAAGCTTAAGCCTACTAAGCCTAAGCCTACTAAGCCTGAGCCTACTAAGCTTAAGCCTACAAAACCTAAGTCTATGCCCAATAGTCTTAAAACTACTAACTTTAAGCCCCAACTAACGATACTTGAGCTTAGCCTTCTAAGCCTAACTCAAATTTAAAAAACTTCAGAAACCCATTTCCCGGCCAAATTTTCAACAACCAGAATATGAAAGATGTCTACTCTGGCGTGAAGATTGACTATCGTGGAGCAGATGTTACTGTACCCAACTTTCAAAATATATTACTAGGATTACCCACCAACGTTGGATCTGGAAGAGTGTTACAGACGTATGTACTATTCTTATACAATTTTAAAAACCACGTACTTTACAGTAATACTACTTTTGTATACTTTAAATTAAAACATAAATGCCTTTTAATATAGCACTATATTTACAATTTTAGAACTTCTGAAGACAATATCTTAATATACTTTTCTGACCATGGTAACACCGGTTTTGTTGGCTTTCCAAACCATCAGGTATTGACTGCCAAACAAATACATGTCACTTTAAATATGATGATACAACAAAGAAAGTTCAATGACATGGTGATCTACATTGAAGCCTGCTTCAGTGGGTCATTGTTCAATGGTATTTTGAAGAACGACAGCAATAGTAAGTTCATGTTACAGTATCCTAAACTAGATTCCTACCCTACCTATTTGATCTACCTTATCATATCGTAGCGCTACCATGCGTTAATAAACAAAAATTCTATGTTTACTAATAATAAAGTTACAGTATACGCAATGACCGCTTCAAACGAAAGAGAAACATCCTACGGCAACACAGATTCGATTCAAGACATTACTGGTGCACGTGTAGTACTAGGAGACTCTTTTTCTTCAAATCTACTCAATTCCATCGTATTTAAGGACTTGACTACAACAACATTGGATGAACAATTTGCTTTTGTCCAAAACGCGACAAAAATGTCGCATGTAAAGCGTTATGGCTCAACTGCAATTGGCCAACAAACAGTCGCTGAATTCTTGCAAATCATCGATTTTAGAGACAATGAGGGAGATGATGACATGAAATTCGAGGTAAATTTGATGAAATGTTAGTTTTATAAAAGTGTTTCATTTAAAAATGGCATTTTTGCAAGAACAGTTGATATAAAATGGCAATTTGAAACAGGTCTTCCACCAGTTTTCCCCGAAAGACTAAAACATCTTCTAATTTTTATAATTTTCAAATGTTACAGTAATCCAACATTGCTGATGTAGTTACAAAAAGTCTTCCTTATAGTCTTTTAAACATTTTCACCAAATTTGAAGCCATTCAGCACCATAGTAACAATTCTACAGCGTATTCACTGACATGTACCCCTATGTTGTTGTATCTTTTACGAAACAACAATTTCGAACGCGTATTTTACAAAAACAATTTTGAAATCAAATTCAAAACCAAATTTTAAATCTAATTTCAAAATAAAAAACTTCAGATTCCGGAAAATTTACTGCCACCATCGACCAAAGGTTCATTGCCATCCTGTGTTATGCCAGAACTGTTGATGATGGAACGATTCGACAAAACCAGTGATATGGAAGAGAAACGACGTTTGGGACGACATTTGAAAAATGTTTTTGATGTGGGTTTTGAAATTTTTAATTTTTTAATTTTTTTAATTTTTAAAAACTGCACGGTGCAAAAAAATAAAATTATTGAACCGTGCAGATATTTTTGAAAAATTAAAGCAAAAATTGAAAGCATTGGTCAATCTTACGTCCAAAATAAACATTTTCTGAAATTTTACCATAATTTGACGCTTCAGGTTAAGAACAACATAGAAAAGCACTCGATGGAAATGTACGTTGATTTGATGCCACAATTCAGATCAAGCGACCCTATCATGGACCCAAGACTACCCCCATTGAGAATTACTCAACTGGACTGTCATGATCAAGTTGTGCGACAATTTGCTGTTCAATGCCCCGAAATGATGGATGTAAGTATTATTCTTGTCTTACCTTAACCTACCCTATTTGCCCTGCTTTACCATTCCCTACCCTACCGTATACTTTCTTGCTTTTTCTTGCCCTGCCAAGCCCTACCCTTCCTTACTGTACTCTGTCTTGCGTTGCCATGTTTTGATAAGCCATACTCTACTCTAGCCTACCCTATTCTACCTTGCCTTGGTGTGCCATACTTTACCCTGCCCTACCTGGCCGTACCAATGTGTACCCTATCCAACCCTTATCCTATCGTACCCTTAAGCCAACACAGTATAAGTTATACTTAAAATAAATATCTTTTAACTTCAGAATGACTTCAAAAACCATTTTATTGCGACAATGACCAACTTGTGTGAACAAATGGTGCCTGCTTCACATATTATCCAACAAATGATCAGACATTGTACCTAAATTAGTGTTTTGACACCATTTTTTACTGTACAACAATACCTTAGTACGTTTGCCTCTTAAAATCTTACCAATTCTACCCTCCATTCCTTTAAAATACCAACATGTCTAAGCACATATACCACCTTTCACTTCTAGGTTATGATGCCTTCACACATAATCATTTAAAGACTTTATTAACATCGCTATAATATATTACACTGTACAACAAATAAATTGAAGAATTTTGAAAATAAAAATGAAAATTTGAAAATCGACAAAATAAATCAAAATTGCAAAAAATAAGAAAGAATAACAAAAAATGGTACCAGTTGGAGTAACTTTCATCGGTATTTACAGTTTTTATCAATGGAAATAGACAAGGATTACATAAATAGGCATTTGAGTGCGGAGGTTCGTTTGAAAATGTCATATTCTTCCAAACTTGAAAAAACATTTTCAAATTGAACCCAGAATAAGGATTTTGACCCGAAGTAAAGCGATTTGCAAGAGATTTACAATTAAATTTCAAAAAATTTTTTAACTTAAGATTTTTCAAATAATTATGTGCCCTCTAACACCGAATATTTGCTTTGAAACGAGACACAGAATTATTTGAAAAACCTAGTATAATAAAAAAAGACAATTCACCGAGATTTCTTACCAGATATTTACAATTGTTTCTTAAAAGTTTGATGTTTAACAACAATGAAGCTGACAATTTAATATAGCCTAGATAGACAACAGTCAAGACTTATCTATATTATTCTTCAAAAACGACAATTTTATTATATAAAATAAATTCACTGTTTTTAAAAATAAGCCTTAGCATGCCACTTAATTTCAAAAAAATATACTTTTTTGCCCTAAAATAACAGAGAAAATTGCGTTTCAACCCTAAAAACTTATTTTTACAGCTTCTTATCAATAAAAACCTTCTGTTTCGTCTTCTAAACAGTGTCAGAAAACAGGCAAAGCTAATTCTAAAGCCTATATCGCAATACAAATGCAAGGATTAGCAACAAAAGCTTGAAATTTAGATCAATCTTTACAGATTTCAAATTTTAAACCCCTATTTAAGCCTGCCAATCCAAACAAACTCATTTCAAAGCTCCAACAAAGCAGTTGCAGGTAGCCCAAGATTCATATTCAGATTGTTCATGATCTGATTGACTAGCTCCAGAATCCGATCGTTCGATCGTTTGTCGTTGGCTAAACTCTGTAGAACTTGAAGACCGTCCTCTTTCACAATGAATTGGCAATACTTTTCACCGTCGGTTGTTGTCAGGTTGGCCAATGCCCAGAGGGCCCAGATCTGTGAACCGTGCGAATCGAACATTGGGATGAGTCGGATGATGGGCTTGAAGGAGCGGTAGTTGATGTAGCGACGCGAGTCCATTGGCCATTGGGAGGTGGCCTGGAAATACAAGTTTTATAGATTTTAAAGTCATTTTTAAAAATTTTTAGATCATTTTTCCCCTTTTTTCAAAATTTTAAGCTTTCCATATTACCCTACCAATCCCCACACCCGACCTTAACAATCTTCTTGGTAACCTCATCCCGCGACACATTACAAGTCCATTTCTGAACTCCATCGCTCAACAGCTGTGCCAACACCCCTGAACTGTTGTAGCTCGTTTCGATTCCATCGCTCATTTGATCCAACAAGCTCATGAAAATGCGAATCAATTCATCGTGCATCAAGTAGAACCTTAGAGCTTCTACTTCGGCGATATTGCCAACTAGACCCATCATGTTTCGAACGAGTTCTTTTTTGGTCGAAAATTCTGAATAACATCGTCGGAAGAGGTCCATTCCACCCGATTTTAGAAACATTTCACAGTTCAATGGGGTTTCGTCTGAAAAAAGGTCAATTTTACATTAAGTAAAAAGCCAATTTAAAAAAAATTTTTTAATTTTTAAAAAATTTAAAATTCATATCAAATAAATAAAGTAACTTTATCTTATACTATTCTACAATTCTATAACCTACCCTACCCTAAAATACCAAAACTTCCAAAACAATGTTTTTAAATCGACTGCACGGTGCAAAAATTTTAAATTTAAAAATTATGCACCGTGCAAATCGCCTCAAGATATTTGTGACAAAAATATTAAAATTTAATTTAAAAAAGGCTCGAAATCCTCATTTTTAATCCAAACTCATAATTTCTTATATTTCTTTTCTTTGCTTCAAATTCAATGCACCGTGCAATAACTTTCTTTTTTTAAATTTCACAAGTAAAAATCGCCCAAAAGCTTTTGTAAGAAATATGCCATAATCTACGTTTCACTATGCTTATAAATCAAAATTTTCAGTTCAAAACCATCTTATCTTCTCTAATTGTGTAATATCTCAACTCAACTGCACCGTGCAAAGCCAAAATTAATAAATTGCACTGTGCAGATTACAACAAATAACAAAAAAAACCTACCGGTAACATTCCACAAAAAACTCCAGCTCACTTCCAACACTTCATCACAGATTCTTCGTTTCGTTTTACGCCGAATGTGATCAACGACAGCTTCGATCGCTCCGAAATTGCCCACTTCGACCTTGTGATCGCCTTCTACGTGACATGCCATTGAATTCAATAGATATACAACAACTCTTGGGGTAGTAATGTCAGCGTAGTGATTGTTCAGGATATGCACTAGGATTTTGACCATTCTTCGGTAGGCAAAGGCGACATCGCCTGGTACTTCTAGCTGGCAGGCGGCTAGGCAACAGTTGCGGACGATGACTGTCTCGTCGGGGAAGGTTTCCATCGCTAAAATGACAGTTTTATTAAGTGCTGTCTCAAAAATCATATAAATTCATTGAAATAAGTTTTAAAATCAAAAAACTAGTAAAACCAATATAGAAATGCCAAAGTAACATACCATCTAACATAACTTCAACGACTCGTCGTTTCACGGCAGCGCTCAACTGAACGTTCCTGATAATGTAAAATACGGCGGCAGTGCCTGCAATTTGAACTGCTCTGTGATTCCTGTGCTTCTGAAGAGCTCTGATAATCAAATCAAGGCCTCGGGCATATTCACATGCAACCTGAAATTTGAATTTTTGTTTATATTAACAAATCTGGTAGTTCTGCAGCTTGCGGGTGACAATTTATACAATAAATCCCAATTTTTGTAAAGAAAGTTCTAGCCATTTTATGTTTTGTAAAGAAAGTTCTTGCCATTTTACGCCATTTCAACCCCACCAAACCCTACCTGTTGATTGATCCTATAAAACTGATAAAGCTCATTCAATACCAAATGTAGCAGTTCAGTTCTGTCCATATACGTGTCCATGGCAATCAACAAATGTTCTTCATCCAAGTCTGAACACACTACTTTGGCTGGAAAAATGGCATTGGCTGTAATGTTTTCACAGCGAAAAACGCTCAAGAAATCAAGTTGATGATCCAAACCATCTAGACCGTAAATGTCGGTTTGGACGTAGTTCAGTCTAAAATTTATATTATTTTAGGTAACAACTTAAAGTTTGTCTAAAAAAGATTTTATATTAAGATTTTTTCCAAAGTTTTACCTAGAACACCAAAAAAGGCGTTTTTTGTTATGATATTTCAAAAAAATTCTCCAATTAAAAAAATTCAAAATATTATCTAAAATTCAAAAAAAATAAAACCTACCGATGAGGCCGATCATCTGAAGTGGCAGCTGAGGTCAAATTACTATTGGCAATGTCGAGGTACTTTAATTTAGGTAGAGCCGCACAAAGGCGGTGCAGAGTTCGTACTGGATTGTTGAACATACCATTTGTAATTACCGCAAAGGCAATGTCAAGTTTTCTACAATTTGAAAACTTAAAATAATATTTTTTAATTTTAAATTGTAAAATATTTTTAAAAATAATTTTTCGAGTTTAATTAAATTTTAAAAAATGTTAATTTAGGTAACAAAATCATCAAAAACAGCCATTTAAAGATTACAAATAAAACCCCCATCTTTAGATCACAAAAAATACCTATTTAACAAAAAAATGTTTCCTTAAACCGTTCGTTACCTAAAATTATCAAAACAAAAAACTTACTGTAAATTTTTAAGCTCGCAAAGCTCCATAATAGAGTTATGTACATCAGGACAGTCATACAACACCAATGAAGTCAGAGTCTCCGTGAATGGCATTAAAAATGTCAGTTTACCCATCTTGTCCCATCTATACAACTCGAGACTCTCCAACTCTTTCAAAGGCTTCAAAATTCGGTCGAAAAACATTGGTCGATTCTCGTAAAGCTGATGGAACACGTTCTTCTTGAGCATTTTCAGCTTCCTCACGGTAGGGAAATACCGGGTGAAATGTTTTGTCGTCTCCAAATTACATCCGCTGTAAATACTGGCGACGAAACTTTTGGCGAGTTGGATTTCAAATCGACATTGAGGATGATTGAGTTCGCATGAATCTGCTTCATCGTCTGCAAATGGCACACTATCACCAAATGCCAATGGTGCTGCTCGATGACTTGAAGGCATATGTTCATATACATCGAATAGTAGCTGATCTGATACGATTAGACTTTCAAGTTGAGGTAGATTATCTTTACTGGCTTCAAGGAAGTCTAATAGCTGCTTTGTGCCAAGGCTCTGCAATTTTTAACATTATAAATGTGATTTTTCATCATTATATGGTTATAAACTCAGCTTTGACCATAAAAAGCAAAATTCAAAATTTTTTACCTAAACCAACAAAAATAAACCCAAAAACATACCGAATTGCCTTCCAAGTCCACATCCAACAATGTATTCTTCTGTCCAACCAAAATATCAAAGAACACCTTATCCGAAATGGCATTTCCTTTGATAGGCAATATTGAAGTAGGATACCTCTCTCCATCTGCCAAATACTCAAAGAACTTAGGGTTTGGAACCCTGGAATAGTTTTCTGTTTGTCGTAAGATTGTTTCTACATCGTTTTGTCGCAAATACCCATGATTTCCATCAATTTGTTGTTTTGGATTGAATAAAATTTGCGCCGAGTTCTTGATGATAACATCGGCCGCCAATTTGGCCAAAAACTCGTTGTCCGGCTTGGCTTCGATCACCATCCGCTCGCTAAAATTAAACGTTAATATTGGTTTTTTAATATATCAAAAAACTAAAAGATTCAGTTTAAAAAGCAATTAGTTATGATCTATACACATGACATCTGGATCCAAAAGCTCTATACCAACATTTGTTTGTAGATAAATTAAAAGCTAGAATATAAATATTATTTTTGGAGTGTATAAAGCTCAAAATATTTCTAAAATAATACCAAAAAACCAAATCAATTGATCAATTTAGAAACCAGTTATCACTGATATTGTTCACCACACCAAAGACCTTGTTTTTATGCCTAATAAAGACTTTTGACAAACTGGGTCATGAAAACAAGAATTAAAGGCAAAAACCTTTGGTCCGTTGGCATAAACGGTTTTATCTGGATCTAAAAGCCAAAGAAAAACAAGCATAATGCCTTACCCTGCAGGCAATTCCATATTATTCTTGACGTCTTATGTCCGCACCGTCTTTGAAAGGATATTTAGATCTGAAAACAGATAAAGTAATCTTTAACCACACAAAAATAATATCATTAAACTCGAGCTTCCAATCAAAGCACTCTCTCCCTGTTGTTCTTCATGAAGAAAACAAAGTTTGTCAACCGAATTTGGGGTATTTTTAGGCAAAAACCTAATTAATTTCGGGTAACAAGCCTCTACACCGGAATAACAAAGCGCGCTCTCAAAATACCGAGCCGAAACTAAGATAAGATGAAGAAAAATGCTCATTACTTTAAAGACTAACGTCAAAAATATCCGAAACACCCGCAGGACACGAAATTCGAGGAAAAGCGAGAGCAAAAACGTGAGGAAAACCGCTTCCGCCAGGTTTTTTTCGCTTTTTCGTTCGCAAGCTGCCCCCTTTCTTCATGAATTTTTTATTTTTTGCCGTTTTTTCAGTTGAAAATATTTGAAGTTGAGCGAATAAATCAAACTTCGCAAAACAAGACCTATGAATTCTGGGAGTCAGGGCTAGACGATATTAAAACGTGATTCGGAATGAAATTAACTTTATCATTTCAGTTTCAATGAACTTGGGGCTTTCAATTCTAATGGGCTTGAAGGAATTGATAACAAGTGTAATGTTTTTAATGCGATTGTTATGAATTTTTTAATTGAGGAAGTAAAAATCTATTCAAAACAATGTTTAAAAATTGGGGTTATTGAAAAGCTAGAAAACAAGATATTAACGATATTATTTATGGCATCAAGGTCAATATAAGGCTAAAAATAAACATGATTCTTAAAAAGAGTTAGATGATACTTTAAAATATATTTTTTAACATATTTGATGCTTATAGTACTGTTGATAAAATACCAAAAAAATGGAAAGATTAAGAAAGTAATAAATTTTATATGGCCGATATTATCCATGAGACTACATTAGTGTTGATGCTAAATTTTAAAGCTTTGTAGAAATATCTAAAAATTATGTATTCAGTCAAAAATTTTTGCGACTAACGATAGTATTATGATCTACCAAACACCAGAAATTTAGAAAAATTGAGCAACCATCAAAAAAGTTATTACTTATGTTATCCATGACAACAAGATCAAAATCCAAAGATAAGAAAAACGTTTTACTGTAACTTGTTATGAAAACCGCTTGTAAACAATAACATAATATGTTTTTTACAACTTACAAAAATTGCTTAGGGTCATAGTTTTTGAAATTTTAAAATTTTACATTAAAATATAGCCGAAAGTCATCATTTCTCGACTAGTTTCCCTCCGTTTCAGCTGAAAATTTCCCGTTTCTTAAGCTCAAGTATACACAAAAACGGAGTAAAAAAGCGAGTTCAAACACGTTCAAATCCATATTATTTTTCGGTTTTGAGAGAAGCAGGGCGAGTGATCAAGATGAAGAAAGAGACGTTGTGAAAGTCTTTTTGGGTTTCAAGATGAGAGTAAACATAACGCGTTGGGAAAGTGGTCATGTCAAAGAACATGACAAAAACAAGAGGTAAAGGGGTAATATAGTTATAATTTACTATTTTGGTAGTTTGGGTAAACATTTCGTTCATATACGACTGGGGAGGGGAAGGGGGTTTTGCAAAAATGCACTTTTGAAGTTGGGTTAAATGTGGTAGTGCCTGAAGTGGGAAAGTTTGGAAGAATTTGTTCTAAGTTATGTTAGAATGGTAATATAAGTACGAAAATTTTTAAAAGTACACAAGAGAAAGGTATGAGATAGTTAACGTGAGATAGGGCTAAGTTAAGACTAGAGCTACTCTGGGCTAGAGCAAGAGCAACAACAAAAGCTCGGACTCTGGGCTGAAGCAAGAGCAACAAAAAGAGCAAGAAGTCTAGGGCTCTCGCCAATAGCAGGAGCAAAAGCTAGAGCAAGGGCAAGAGTTAGGGTTAGGCTAGAGCTCTGAACTAAGGCTAGGGCTTTAACTATAAGATTTAGAAATATCATTAAATTATATTGAGATCAACTAACCAGACATCTGAAGCAGAAATCCTTTCGCAGACATTTTCAAGTTTATTTTTAAACTTCTATAACAAAAAAAGGTATAAAAATACGAAAAAAAAGATTAATCAACAGCTCAACGACACGAGAAAGTCATTCAAAATAAAATTTTTTATCAGAGAAAAGTGCGCTTTTGGTCATTTATAAACTTGTTCCTAACCAAAACTATTAAAATTGGATTGAATGTGGTGTTTGACAGGTTCCAGGTCACATGTTGTTTGTTTTTTGTTAGGTCAACATGTTTTTTCTTGTGTTTTAGTAATGTTTTGGCTTGGAAAAGGTTCTAGGCTAATGTGAAAAGTGAGATTTTGAGACTTGTTTATCAGACATTGTTAACATAAGATAGATTTGGAGCTGGAAATAGATTTGAAGGTTTTTTCTTGTAAGTTATAAATAGGTATGACTGGCTTGTAAAGGGGGACAAAACGGGTCTAATAAGCCCGTTTAAGGCTAGTATGGCACCGTTCTTTTAAGCTAAAGAAAAATGAACAAAGCTTAGAATATAAAGTATATAATAAAGTCTAATTTAGGTACAAACATAGCCCAATAACAATAAAAAACCGTCATAATTACACTAACTAAATCGTCTACATAAACTTCCTTACCTCTCAGATACTAATCTTACTATACCCAAAAGGAAAAACCCCAAAGGAAGCGATCGGTCTGTTCAAGAACAATAAAACACAATTGGTTCACATTCGGAAAACACGCCTTGACGTTCCGTTTCGTAAAGAAGAAACGGTAATGATTGATCTGTTACTATTCGTGGCGTTTTTACACTTTGACAATAAGGTTTGAAAATGAATTAAAATAGGCATGGCATTATTATTTTAGGACGGTAAGACTAGGTAAAACTCGAGAAAAGAGAAGACAGGCTTGTATTGATTATGGTTTTAAAAGTTAAGAATAACGTAGGGAACGGTAGGCCAAGGGCATGACTATAGTAGGGCTAGGATAAGGGTATAGTAAGGTTCAAATAAGACTAGAAGAGGGCTATTGTAAGACTAGAACATAGCTAGTACGAGAGTAAAGTAAAGGTAATGTAAAGCTCGAGTAGGGCTAGATTTAGGCTAGTGTCAGGCTAGAACAACGCTAAACTAATGGTATATTAGGCTAAGACATGACTAAGGTAGAGCTGACGTAAAGTTAGGGGCTAAGGCTAGTGCAAGGCTAGCAAAAAGAAGTATCTAGGATAAAGCTAAGATAGGAGCAGCAGAATGCTAGAGCAGAACTAATTTAAAGCTAGAGTAGGGCTAGGAAAAAGTCATAATAGGGTTAAGATAAGTCTAGATTGGAGCTAGAGTGAAGCTAAGCTAGGCTTATGGTAAGGCTTATGTAGGGCTAAGGTAGAGCTAGGGTGAAGTTAGGTCGGGACTAGAGTATAGCTGGGATATAATTCAAAGGTTAGAGTAGCAGCAGGTAAGGCTAAGGTAAATTAAAATAATTTTCAAAACAACATTTGTTTCAAATTTTAGAATTTACGAAATAAAAACAAGGTTTACTTTACGGTTTTACTTGACTAATTAAAATACATATCATTAAGCTATTATACCTCCAATTCCTACCTTTAAAATTATAATAAACAACGCTAAACCCTCAGTCCATGAGACTGTTTGCCTATTAATAAGAACAGTCACATTTTTGTTTATCACCATGTTTTTGATAAGAGAAACGTATCTTAATATGAAACAAACCGTTTTACGAAATTCGTTTTGAAATGTGCTTTTAGGTAACTAAAAACAATTAAAACCGGGAACTTTGTTGTTGATGAACGAATGTTGACGTAGTTGAAAAACATTATAACTGACATATAATCTTGTTCTTTGGTGTTTTAACTTTAAAATATTACTGAGCGATTAAACAGTAATGTCATGTTACACTACCTAGCTCTAACCCTAGTCCACACTCTTGGCCTTAGCCCAGAGCCCTAGCCCAAAACCATAGCCCAGAGCCCTAGCCCAGAGCCCTAACCCAGAGCCCTAGCCCAGAGCCTTAGCCCAGAACCTTAACCCAAAGCCCATAGTCTTAGACCTTTTTCCTAGATCAGTGCCCAAATATAAGGTCTAAGCCCAGAGCTCTAGCCCAGAACCCTAGCCCAGAGCTCAGATTCTTATCTATAGTCCTAGTCTATATTTAGCTCTAGTCCTTAAAGTACGTTTTAGACCTAGTCCTATTTCTAGTCGTAGCCTTTGTTCAACTCTGTCAACCTTAGTAGTAATGTAGCTTTAGACGTATAAATAAAATATACTTAAAGTTAAGTTTATTATAAAACTATTTATTATATTACACGTTCTAATTAGCACTAGTGTCCATCCGACTCAGTATCGCTCTCTATTTCATCTTGTATTGTCACAATTGGCACGGTAAAGTCAGCACCGTCTGGTAAAGCACAAACCGTCAGTTTGTGACGTATTTTCTCTGGTGGCCTAAGGGTTACTGTAACAAAAAAAATTATATTTTTAAATTTTTTTGTATGCATTGTTTTTACAATGTAAAATACGTCTGATAACAGTACATAGTTATTTTTTCATTATGAAGTTTGCACGAAATTTATCAAGACTTACAGCTATCTCTCCGTAGACTGTCAGTATCTTTTGGCCGTTTCCTGCAACTGTCCCATACGCATGCGATAATCACGATTATCACGCTGATTATCATCAATATTAGTATCACGCTAAAAAGATCTGAATGAAAATGCTTTGACAAAACTTTGATTGTATATAAAATAAGAAGGTGTTGCAGTAGAACTCCTGTATAAAGAATACGTCGAGATTTTCCTCTCCTACCCAACAATTTATAATCTGTCCTACTATACTCAGTAGATCATGCTATCTTAAAAAATAAAATAATAAAAAAAACTTTAGTACTTACTCCCATGAAGATGTGTTGATCTCCTTTCGTACTTGCTCATAATTTCGATTTACATCAGTTTCGTTATAAGCAAACGGTTTCTTTCCATATGACAAAGACTTATCGATGAGTATTGCCAAAGTAATAAATAGTAGAGATCTTTGTGGCATATTCTTTGTACTCAAGCTAAAAGTTTTTAAATATTAACAGAGTTAGCAAGGTATTTGACGTAAAAACTCGTTAAGAGCAAGGTCGTCTCGAGAATGAAATAAAAAGCATAAATTTGTTTGAATTTGCTGGAATTTGCTACCTACAGGCAGTGCCGGGCAGGGACTTTTAGTCTAGAGGCGGGGGTCGAAAAGATCGGCACAGTAGAGCTATCTATGCCAATTTTTAGTAAAAATTTTTTCGGAATATCCACAGGGGGGAACACGTTCAACTTTTTTCGAAAATTTTTAATTTTTTTTCTAGTGGGGGGGAGTCTCCCTTCCTCCCTCATCCACCCCCCCCTCCCCCCAGCAATGCTTTCAAAAAAGTGTACTGAACACAACCCTTCAAACAATAAATGCGACTTTTATACAGTTTTATTCTGTTTGATAAAGTTCCAATAAGTAGTCAAATTAGTATCCACAAAAGTGTTTTAAAAAAAAAGTAAAATGCACTTGAACTACCGTTCACACACTTGAATTATCTTAATTAAATGTTATCTAAAAAATTGGTTAAACTAATGAACCCAAAAATGTTTGAAAAAGAAGGTTTTTGTAAAATAACATTTTTGGTTATTTGAAATTAGTCGCTTTTATAAAAAGGTAAGGCCTAGCTTATTTATGTCCTAGCTTATTAGCTTTTTGTTAGCTTTATTCAGGCTTTGTTGTAGCTTCATATTACAACTACAAGCCTTAACCTAACCCAGGAACGTCGTAAGGAAGAAAGAAGGGGTAGAAGGAGTAAACCCACACAGATACCGTCAGTAGAGAGAAAATGTTTTCTTAAAATTTTCCCGCTTATTAGCCCCCGACATAATAAACCCGCCATACTTTGCTTATAATTTCTTGTAAAAAATGGCGGGTTCTTTATGTCTGCGCTTAATATTTTTTTTGCAAACATAACGACTTCTCAGGCCTACCCTAGGTTTATTAGTCTACCCTAGCTTTGTCTGAGCCTAGAGTTCCACCCAATCGCTACGCTAGCCTTAAAAGTTTGCAAATACCTCTTCCTGCTATTTTCCCACCTATTCCTGCTATCACAGGTTGCCCATTAAGAACGTCAGGTTGTGCTCAATTTTTTTGGTCTGGTTTCTTTAAAATTTGTTTCAGCTTACCCCGACTATAGTGAGCCCCTTTCAGGCTTAATCATAGTACAAAAATGAATGAAAAATTTTTACTTTGAAAAACCTTGGTTTTGAAAAACAAACGGTTTACATTACATTAAAACAAACATTCAATTAGAGTTTTGTGAACAATCGTCATCTCTTACCGAATTTCCTACTGATTTCCAATTTGTCTTCTCCGTCCACAAAAGTGTAACAAAACTTTTTTGTTTCGGCGCGGGTGGAAATTGAAGAAAAAAACTACTTGCCGAATTGTTAAGGCGGAACTTACCCAAATGTTGTTTTACAATTGTATTCGAATCGTTTAATTAATTTAATTTAGAGGGTTTGCAAATTTAAACGGAATTTTAAAAAAACTTTTGCAAGTTTTATATTTTAGTCCTGGCCTTGAACTCTAGTCCTACCACCCTGCGGTAAACGTGAAATAAGACCCATTAAGCGCGGCTCCGGGCTAAATGGGCTTAAAATTTAAAAAAAAACTAATCCGAGCTATGTTGGCTCGAGCTTAAGGGCCTAAACTATGATAAATCGAGAGACCAGTCCAAAATCTTAGGCCCTGCCCCTACACAATTCTACCCTGAGGCCAAAAACTTTTAAAAAAATAAAAATTTATTCAAATTTTGAAAGAAATAACGGTAAGAGATGATACGATTGATGTTTGATATGTAAAGGAAGTGTAAAATTGTAACAGATAAGCAGTACGGTGTAAAACTGAAAGATCATTGTGAATATTGATTTAGAGTTGACTTCACATATCCTTGTGGTCCACTTCTTTCTATGTTCGGTGCTGAGGCTGAGTTTGTAAAACTAAAAGATCGATATCAATAATTTGCGTATTTTATTTTTCTGTGTCTAAAAATTGTAATATTTCACTTTCTTGTAACTTGTCTTATACAATATTCTTAAAAACAGTCTTAAAAGCTTGAAAATTTATCAAAAAATCGGTTTTTTGAGCCAAAAAATGGGATTTTCTAGCCAAAAAGTGGGGTTTTCTAGCCAAAAAATTTGTTTTTTTTTTATCTGAAAAACTGGTTTTTTAGTTAAAAAATCCAGCTTTAAACTTCAAAAAAAATTTTAACTTGTTAGCCCTGTAGCAATACAATTTTTGTTATCAAAAGCTTACTTTGAAGACCCAGCATTCATCAAGAACATAACAGCACTCTTTTTGGTCATAAATGGTCTGAGAACAGCATGTCGCAACGGTGCAATTGATGCCACTATGACCAAACCAGGTAATACAAAATGTGATCCGATTGTTACTGGCAATATGAACCGCAAAGCAACGTAGATATTTACTATTCCGGATATGAATATGTACTGAAATGATCTTTTTTAATAGACTAAGACTAAAGCTTGGGCTCAGGCTCAGGCTCAAGCTCAGGCTCAGGCTCAAGCTAAACATTAAGATCAAGCCCAACTTCAATTTCAGGCTCAAGCTCACGCTATGCCATACTTCAAAAAAAAATCAAAAACCAGCTTACCTGGCCAGCCGCCACCAAGCATTGAGCTATGAAGTTGATAGTACAACATATAACAAAATTGACTTCACGTTTACCCGTAATGTAGCCGTTTATTCTATGCCGTATTAACATGCAAACGTTGATAAAATTACAAGTTACACCCAATAATGCACATATAACCGATAAATATTGAGTGACTTCAGCGTCTACAATCTGAAACAGGGTATGGTAGAAAAGAGTGGTCGTTTTTAAAAACAAATGAACCAACTCAGTACGAATTAAAATACTGTAATTTTGTATCCAATAACAGATAAGACTATATTTATTGAGTATGTAAAATTTTATTCTCGTAAGCATCGCATTTTAGGTTTTATAGGCTAAAAACAAAAAAAAATTGTAGTTGAGACTCGCTTCAGAGACAAAAACTAGTCGTACTCAATCAGTACAACTCATAACAAAGAAATTTTTTACAGTGTAACAGCAACTACTGTATCAACTTACTATTTTAAATTCCATTACAGTATACGACGTATTTTACAAGTTACAGAATTTTAAAGTCAAAAAAATCAAAATTAAAAAAATTTTCAAAAGCTTTACTTACCCCAAGAGTAAACGTATGGTCATAATCAAATCCAGTATAATTAAACCATAATGTTGTGTTATCAAAAGTAAGTCCAGCTTTATTGAAAGGCAAGTAAAACGCTAAAGAATACGGTAATATGGCATAGGCTACAAACAATATTATCTTGTAGTGCTTCCAAAGCTAAAAAATGTTTTGTAAAATACGCCGAAACAAACGCATAAAAAATTTTTAGAGTTTGACCACGTAGCACCTTTGCGCAGTAACTATGTTAAATAATACCTTATACTCAAAACGTACCATATTGTATTTTAGAGGGAAGCACAAGCTACACATCCGATTATACGCCATTAAAACAGGTGTTATTTGTGCTGAGTACATGCAATGATACATCAAGTAACATAACGGTGTAAAACCCCACGTAAACTTCTTTTTTAATAATGGTCGTATATGCACCATAAAGTAATCGGAGTTGATGAAATGAGTGAACGCTTGTTGTGAACCGCCTAGACAGTCCTAAAACAAAACGATAATTTGCTATAGTACCCTGCCCTACCCTACCCTACCCTACCCTACCCTACCCTACCCTACCCTACCCTACCCTACCCTACCCTACCCTACCCTACCCTACCCTAGCCCTACCCTACCCTACCCTACCCTACCCTACCCTACCCTACCCTACCCTACCCCTACCCTACCCTACCCTACCCTACCCTACCCTACCCTACCCTACCCTACCCTACCCTACCCTGCCCTACCCTACCCTACCCTACCCTACCCTACCCCTACCCTACCCTACCCTAGCCTACCCTACCCTACCCTACCCTACCCTACCCCTACCCTACCCTACCCCTACCCTACCCTACCCTACCCTACCCTACCCTACCCTACCCTACCCTACCCTACCCTACCCTACCCTAGCCTACCCTACCCTACCCTACCCTACCCTACCCTACCCTACCCTAGCCTACCCTACCCTACCCTACCCTACCCTACCCTACCCTACCCTACCCTAGCCTACCCTACCCTACCCTACCCCTACCCTACCCCTACCCTACCCTACCCTACCCTACCCTACCCTACCCTACCCTACCCTACCCTACCCTACCCTACCCTACCCTACCCTACCCTACCCTACCCTAGCCTACCCTACCCTACCCTACCCTACCCTACCCTACCCTACCCTACCCTACCCTAGCCTACCCTACCCTACCCTACCCTACCCTACCCTACATTACCCTATCTTACAATATGGTATTTTACCTTGTTATATCCTATTTTACAATACGGTATTTTACCTTGTTCTACTCTACCTTTATTCTATCACAGCTTACCTTACCTTAACCATGCTCTAGCTCAAGCGTTTCTAAAAATATTCAAACCTACCACAATGCCACCGACCAACATAATTTTGTAAAAATGTGATTGAAATTCTTTACTTTTGACCCACAATATGTAAACGATTCGCACGTATAAGATAAATAATGGCACTATGTAAAAGTAGAAGAATATGGCTTCAAACCAGTACATAAACAGCTGTAAATAGCAATTTTAATATGTTCCTTCCTTTTGACAATTAATTTTAAAAGCGTTACATAGACGGCACAATGTATATTAGCATAAAGTACGTCAAAGTATTATAAAGATAAATTAAATTACAGTACAACTATGTGTGGCTAATACATATAATATTATTAACGTTAACCATATTATACATAGTAGTATTTAATAGTACGTATAATATGGTTCGGTATCGACATAGGTGTTCCAAAAAGTATATTATGGCAAATATAGTATAACATACTAATAAAAACCAAAAAAAAAATAATATCAACATATTTTTTAATCAAACTTCGTTAGTTACAAAAAAGAACGCATGACATTTGAAAAACTCTGGTAAATATTTATTAAAAAACTTGACAGTAATTAAAACACCGAGTGGTTTTACATATACATGTACACTAATAGCACCTGTATCTAGCATATGAAGTTCTTGCTTAACCAAAAAAGCTGTTTGTAAAAACTTTGTTTACAAACATGTCGTATGCAGATATATATACATTTGTATATATATAGTGCAAGTATGGTACTCAAACGAAAAATTTGTTTATGTAACTACAAAAGCAAGATATAAATAGTCAAAATAACGGTGACATGCCTAGAGTATGCTTTAGTATACCCCCCCCCCCAGAAAAAAATTTTCGAAAAAAGTCGAACGTGGTCCCCCCCCCCTGTGGATTTTTTGGAAAACATTTTTTGCAAAAAATCGGCACAGTTTTTTTCCACCCCCGCCCCCAGACCAAAAGTCCCCGCCCGGCACTGACTATGGCTATGGCTACGGCTAAAGCCAAGTCCAACGCCAGCAACAATGCTCAGTTAAGCGTAACGTGCGCTCGCTTGTAAAGTTAAGACTAAAAGTAAGTGATAGTATAAATACAGTAAGAGATGACACAAGTTACTTTGCAAGAACACTATCACAAGTTATAAAACAAAACAAATGACATTTCATCCTTTCATCTTGCTAAAACAAAAATCTCTTTAAATAACAAGAATTTCGCTAAAGCCACGCCTTAATTCTATCCATTTACCATCCCGTACTTCCTCTACATTACAGTTACCATTATGATACGTTAGCACAGCCGGTAATTACCGATTGAAATAAAAATGTTCATGTAATTAATGTTTAATTCTAAGAAGCGGATACACACAGAACAGTAACGGTAAATTATTTGTTCCGTTTTTGTACGTGACAGTATTATTATTAATAACATGGTATTCAACGCAATACATAATAACATGATAAAAATATACAAAACAGCGTGACAAGTATGATAATCTTGCAAAAAATTAAAAATTTTAAAAGTTAAATTAAAACCATTCTACGTGTTTTAAGACCAACCCAATAATTTTAGTTTTTTCTTTGTGTCTTTACGTTTTACCTTAAAAAAATTTAAAAAGTATAATTATTGCAAAAACACAGAATCTACCTTAACTAAATATTAAAAATGCACTTTTCAGTTTCTGAAAAAGACTTTCAGATTACCATTTAAAAACGTAAAATGGTAATGTAATTACAGACGTCCCAAAGAATGATGAATAATGTTGCACGTTCTTTAAGTTTGTAAGCCTTTTACAGGTGTTCTGTGAGTAAAAGCAAACATTTTTAATTTCATTTAGAGCAATCAAAAATTCAAAAAAAGCATTATTCAGACATGTACTGTAGGCCACAATACATGCGTTAATGCTACGAAGAAGTTGGCGACATTTAAAAAAATTAATGTTGTCTATGATGCACATTAAGCTAAAATTGTCTTTGACACAGAAATTTTAAACCTCAAAAAATTTTTTTAAATTTTAAATTATACATAATACTAAAACTTAGAAATCCAAATTTTATTTTATTAAAATTTATTGAACTATTTACATCAATATTTACAATCACCGGTTAAAAATTATACGTACATAATATTAACAACTCATATCAGTTAATTATCGTTAAACAATGTGATAAAAAAACTGATAAGGTAGTTTTGTCAATAAAAAATAAACATCTTTTTGTCATCTGCAGGTAGATGTAAGTTCCATCTTTCTTCTTCGGCCAAGAATCTACTAGGGTAAAATGGCAAAGCATCGACATTTGAATGCGGCATTAACGGATGCTGCTTGCCTTTTCTGACTGGACGTGGCACAAATGGTTTGGCGTTCACATTCATGTGTCGAGGCAACGGCAACGTAGCCACGGTGGTAATATGCTGGACTGGGCTAGAACGCACACTATCCAAAGAGTACACTGGCGACGATGCTCGGCTATACCAGTCAGCCGTTGTGTTTGCGGTCTTGAAGATGAATAAGTTAAACTGTGAAGGGCTAGGCGAAGATCTGCTACTAGACTGGCTGCTGTAAGCGGAGTCAACTGGACTAGCCGATTGGATTGGGCGGGCTTGATGCATCTTTTGGCTTGGAAAGCACTGGAACTTGGTGTTTTTCAATTCAAAGAGATAGCTGGTGTCGTTGGCGTACATTTTTTAATTTTTAAGTTAAAGTAACTTTAAAAGTTTAAAAGCAAGGTTAAGCTGAAATTAAAATAGGTGTCAAGATTGTTATAAAATAAAAAACAAAATCACGATGAACAACGAATATGTTAAAACCCAGATAAATATTTTAAAATTCCAGAGCTCTTCAAAGCCGCCACTCTGAACGAAGGTGTTGAGTTGAATGATTTTGTTGATCCACGATTCAGCAATTTATAGAAGAAATAAGCACAAATTTCCGGTTTGATAAGCCTAAGGACAAGATTAAACTTAAGTAATTGCGCAAGTTAGCATGAGTTTGTGTCTCCGCGCAGGGTCTATAGAATCCTTAATTATTGCATCAACGAATCGAATTTTATTTTTTCTCTACTGGTTTGGCCTTTTGCAAAAGCTTGGTTTAAATTTTAATCATGTGAACTTTGATGCTTTTGATCTAATCTAATGTTAATTATGAATTTACGTTGAATCAGTTTAAAAGACGATTTCTGAGACGGTGAAGCATGGTGTGCACTAGAAATTGACCCCCTGTTTTTATCGTCTTAATGCATGAGATAAACCGTTTTAAGATGTGTAGTGAAGTGTTTTTGCACAAAATGTCATTTTGACATTTTTATGACATTTTTTGTCAAAAACAGTGAAAATTTATAATAATTTTAAAAATTAGCAGAATGTTTTAAAAATTTGTACACTTATGTTTTTAACTATGCTGAATAAAAAATTGTAGTTGAACATTTTTTTCTAAAGTTACCGTAACCTACCGTAACCCAACCGGTCGATTAAAAAAGTGCAAATAAAAAAAAATTTAACACGGTTAGTCATAGTCAATTTTAGCATATTTGAAATCTACATGAAATTTGGGTTTGAATAGACGGTACGCTCAAACTTAAAGCTGCCAATTTTGGGGCTTTACGGCCGATTAAAAAATTACGGTAGCACAATGTCAAACAATTTAAAATTTTACTGTCGCTTTGCTAATGCAACTACAAGTCTGCAAATTTGCATACTTATGTTTTTTACCATGTTGAACAAACTGGTAATTACAAAAAGTTTATAAAAGCACCGTAACTTATCGTAATCCGACCGGTCGATTATAAAAGTGCAAATATCTAAAAATTTAACACGGTTAGTCATAGTCAATTTTAGCATATTTAGATTCTTCATAAAACGTAGATATTGAAAGGCTATAAGATAATTTTTAAAGCTGCCAATTTTGGGGGTTTACGGTCATTTTTTGGATAGTATGCCACCGTAATTTTTTAATTTACCGTAAAGCACCAAAACTGGCAGCTTTAAAGATGTGCTTATACCCAATCAATATCTACGTTTCATGTAGGTTCTAAATATGCTAAACTTGACTATGGAGACCCGTGTTAAATTTTTGGATATTTGCACTTTTATACTCGACCGGTGGGATTACGGTAGGTTACGGTACCTTTAGAAAAAAATTTTAAACTACAAAGTAATTCAGCGTAACGAAAAACGTACGTATGCAAATTTGCAGACTTGTAATTGCATTAGCAAAGCCACAGTAAAGTTTTAAATTTTTTGACATTGTGCTACCGTAATTTTTTAATCGGCCGTAAAGCCCCAAAATTGGCAGCTTTAAGTTTGAGCGTACCTTCTATTCAAACCCAAATTTCATGTAGATTTCAAATATGCTAAAATTGACTATGACTAACCGTGTTAAATTTTTTTTATTTGCACTTTTATAATCGACCGGGCGGGTTACGGTAGGTTACGGTAACTTTAGAAAAAAATGTTCAACTACAATTTTAATAAGCGTGTTTTGAAACGTAAGTATAACAAATTACACGGCATTTGATATATTAATAATGGCACAGTAATTTTTTAATTTTTTGACCGTATCCTACCGTAATTTATTAATTGACCAAAAACTCCAAAAACTGGCAGCTTTAAGTTTGAGCGTACCGTTTATTCAAACCCAAATTTCATGTAGATTTCAAATATGCTAAAATTGACTATGACTAACCGTGTTAAATTTTTTTTTATTTGCACTTTTTTAATCGACCGGTTGGGTTACGGTAGGTTACGGTAACTTTAGAAAAAAATGTTCAACTACAATTTTAATCAGCATAGTTAAAAACATAAGTGTACAAATTTTTAAAACATTCTGCTAATTTTTAAAATTGTTATAAATTTTCACTGTTTTTTTAGACAAAAAATGTCATAAAAATGTCAAAATGACATTTTGTGCAAAAAAAACTTCACTATACATCTTAAAACGACTTTATCTCATGCATTAAGACGGTAAAAACAGGGGGTTAATTTCTAGTGCACCTGCCTGTTTCAGGCTGCTTCACTGTCTCAGAAATCGTCTTTTAAGCTTTACCTTTTACATTATTTGGGAAAATAGTCAAACAGTAACACGGCGTTCAATTATCAGTTACAAGTTTATTTAATAAAATAAATACAAAATTTGATAAATTTTTCATATTGAGCTTTAAGATAATATTTATAAATCGTTCAATCAGACTTTAAGAATTTACAATTCACCGTATTATAGAAGAATCTTATCACAATTTAAATTATAAAAAATATAATTACAATCATAAGAAATGACAAATCAAATGTAAAAATTTGAAAAAAATGTAAATTTTGAACTTCGTCTGTTTTTAGAAAACGTAGACCCGTAAGTTTTGCAGTAGACGGACGTGTGAGTGATATTTTCATAAGGCCCTAGCAGCAATAGATCCGACTTTAGCTACAAATATCAGTGTTATATCTAAACCGTATATGGTCCTTAAACACTGGCTAACACTACAATGCAATCAAAAATCAAATAGACAATGATCATAGCTACAACCACAATTACAACTTAGTAACATAAACCACAATCATTATCAATAGCATAGTAAAACCACCAAAAATCACAATAAAATTGACTACAATCACAATCATAATGTTATTTTACAATATTGAGCTTAATAACAGTTGATATTTACACTGGCTAGTGTAAGCCGACGGCCGATCGTAGCGAAGTCAGCTGGTTGACGCGCTTCTCTTCGCTTCGGATCACTTCGGCCGTTTGGGCATCGCTCATTCCCGTCGCTGCCGCTATTACTCTGACCAGGGGCTGAAAAATAATTTACATTATAAAAATTTTTATATATTAAAAATTGCAACGACTTTCTCTACAAAACATAAAATTGCAAGAACTTTATTTAAAGAATAAAAAATGACAAGAACTTTCTTTACAAAACACAAAATAGAAAAACTTTTTTTTTAAAAGTGATAAATGAAAAAACTTTCTTTACAAAACGTAAAATTGCAAAAACTTTCTTTCCAATCTCATTTTCCCCTTAAATTTCCAAAACAACCCTATAAAATAATTAAAAACTTACCACAGCGCCTTTGCCTAGGTTGTCCCTAGTCGTCAGGTATTTAAATACAATATTCTGGACATATTCCAGTGGTGGGCCTTCGTGTCGTACGCAGGCCAACAGTTCGCGGCTTTCGTGAAGCTCCTTCTTCAGGGTTTCATTGTACTTCCTCAAAGACTCGACCTCATCACGGAGCTGAAAATTGAGCAAATTTTAAAACTTCAAACTAATCAAATAATTAAAAATTTGAAAACTTTGTCCGTAACCACTAAAACATTCTAAATTTTACGTTATACAAGCCTAAAACCTAAGGTTTTTATTTAAAAAAAACGAAAAAAAAACATAAAGACAACCCCTAGAACATAAAAAATATAAAAATACCACTCAAAAAAGTATAAAAACACCCGCTAAAACCCAAAAAATACAAAAACACCCCCTAAAACCTAAAATTATAAAAACACCCCCTAGAACATTAAAAAACCTAAAAACACCCCCTAAAACCCAAAAATTATGGAAACACCCCCTAAAACCCAAAAATTATGAAAACACCCCCTAAAACCCAAAAATTATGAAAACACCCCCTAAATCCAAAAAAAAATAAAACACCCCTCAAAAGCTCAAAATTATCAACCCCCCCCTAGAACTCTAAAAAATATAAAAAAACACCCCCTAAAACACATAAATTCAGCAAATCGACCCCCTTACCAATCCATCCGGTTCCTCATTGTCCCATCCATTTTCTTCTGATTCGTGCTCCTTTTCAGCCAACTTTTCTTCCGCTTCTTTTAGCTTTTCATTCACTTCTTTCAGTTTTCTCTCCAGTTGTTTCGTCTTCTCCTGTTCCTTCTGAACCACACCATACATGACTTGAACTTCGTTTTTAAATGTCGAAACTTCATTTTCGGCTTGAACTTTGGTCGATTTCAACTTTTCCAACTCTTTCTCTGCCACAGACTTCGCGACTTCTGAGTCTTTGAGTTGCTGTTCTAGGCGTTCCACATCGGTGGCTAGATGTTCATGTTCAGCGTTTGTTGTTTGAAGTTCATTCAGTTCGTGTTTGAGTTGTTCAATGTGTTCGTGCGCTTGGTCGAGTTGGAGGCGGGTGTCTTCGGTTTCCTGGAAGTGAAATTTTGATTTAAAAAAAGGTTTTACAAGCTTGTTACCTACTCTATTTTGTCTTTCTCACCATACCTTACTCTACCCCAAACTACTCTATCATACCATACCTTATCCCACTATATCTTATCTTACCCTATCTTATACTACTGTACCCTACCTTACCTTACCCTATCCTATCATACCCTTCCGTGTCCTAAATTAACATAACCCTACCTTCGAGCCCTCCAACCTCTCTCTAACAAACAACTCATTTTGCCGGCTCAATTCCTCTTTGGTTCGACTCAAATCGTCCAATTCCAGGTAAGCGCTTTGAAGTTGACTCTGTAGCTTTACATTCTGTTGAACTGTTTCTTTATTCGTCTTGATCAACTCTTCATACTTATTCTTTACTTCATTCTGTTTTTCCACATTCTCCTTCTGTTCCTCTTGCACCTCTTGTAGCTGTTTCTGAGCCTTCTCAAGTTCTCTTTGAACCTTCTCCAACTCTTCAGTTTCTTTCATTTTATTCTTTAACGCTTCCTTTGCTGCCTTCAATTCTTCTTTTGCTTCTGTTTTCTCGTGTTCTACAGCTTCCAACTCAATCTTCAAGTTCTCCAATTGCTTTAGGGATTCATTCTTTTCTTGTAGCTCAACTTGAACTTGTTCAAACTTCTTTTTCAGATCACGAAGCTCCGTTTCTACAGCATTCTTCTCGACTTCTAGGTCTTTCTTTTCCTTTTCAATCGCTTCTTTCTTCTGTAGATCAACTTGAACTGCTTCAAACTGAGTTTTGAGGGCTTGAAGCTCATCCTCTACTTGTTTTTTCTGGCCTTGTATTTCATTATTTTGTTGTATCGCCTCACTCTTCTGTTGCTCTAGTTCAATCATTTTTTGTTCTAGCTCTTTCTTGTCCATTTCCAGCTCCTTCTTGGCTACTTCCAGCTCATTCTTTGCCATTTCCAGTTCATTTTTCTTTTGTAGATCGGCTTTAACATGCTCAAAGTTCACCTTTAGCTCTTCTAGTTGCTTTTCCAGTTCATTTTTCTGCTCTTCCAACTCTTGTTTAGCTTTTACTACATCATTCTGTCCTTGTAAGTCCCCTTGAACCGTTTCAAATTGTTCTTTCAGAGCTTTCAGTTCACTTTCAACCGCATTTTTGCCGTCTTCTAAGGCTTTCTTTTCATTTTCTAAAGTATTTTTCTCTTCTTCCAGCTTATTCTTGGCTTGTTCTAATTCATTCTTGGCCTCTTCTAGCTCATTCTTCGTCTGTAACTCAACTTGAGCTTGTTCTAGCTTTGATTTCAAAGCCTCAAGTTCATCTTCCAGCTGCTTTTTCTCAGCTTCCAACTGATCTTTCTTTGCTTCCAACTCATTCTTTTGATCTTTTAGTCCCTTATCATTCTCTTCTTTACCTTCTTTCTCCTGTAGATCCTTTTGAACCGCTTCGAATCGTTCTTTCAAGCCTGTTAGCTCATTTTCCAGTTCCTCCTTCTCCTTCTCCAACTCCTTTTTCTTCTTCAGCTCATCTTGAACTTGTTCATATTCTTGTTTTAAAGCCTTCAGCTCAGCATCGACCTTATCTTTGTCCATCTCCAAAGCCTGTATCTTCCCGTCTCTGACATTTTTCTCTTGCTCCAATGTCTCAGCATCCTTTAGATCACCATCAACACTGTTCAACTTATCGGCCTTCTGGAGCGCTGCCTTACTATCCTCGAGCTCTTTTTGTAGGACCTTCATCTTCTCCGTCAGGTCAATCACATTAACTTCCAGAGGCTCTAATTGGGCTTCTGATTCTTTTAGGGTATCATTAAGCTCATGAATCTTGACTTCAGCTAACTTTAGATCATTGTGAAGCAGCTTTATTCTATCTTCATCTTCAATTTCCTTCATTTCCAGCTCTTTGACTGTCTCCTGGCTTAGCTTTAGTTCACTTTCCAGCTGTTTTAGCCTCTCTTCCTTGGCTTTCATGTCCTTTTCCAGTTGAACCTTGGCATCCGAGCTTAACCTGACCGAGTTTTTCAGGGCGTTCAGTTCTTCTTCCGACTGTTGAAGGGTCTCTACCTTGTTTTTGAGGCCTTTAATCAGTTCCACAGCTTGTTTTAGTCTGTTTTCTATGCCTGTCTTGTCTTCTAGTGCCTTTTTCTTTTCTTCTTGAAGCTTCTGTAGTTGCGATTTTAATTCATCTTGGTCATGATCACCACTCAATTGGTTCTGATTTGGTTCTAGAGGCTTTACATTGACCTTATCGGCCTTCTCATGCTTTTCCATCTTGTCCTGACTTTGTATTAGTTCATTTTCAAGCACTTTAACCCTTTCCTCTCTTGCCTTTAGTTCTTTTTCTAGTTCGTCTTTGCTTTCCGAGCTGATTCGCACAAATTCCTTTAGGGCATTCAGTTCACTTTCATATTCCTTCAGAGTTTCTACTTCAATTCTCAGCTTTCCAACAGCTTCCGAGCCTTCTTTTACTTTATTTTCAGCCTGAATGTTCTCTTCTTCTAGCTGTTTCTTGTCCTGTTCTAGCTTATTAACCATCTCTTTTAGTGCTTCTACTTCTTCATTAGTTTTTTGCTCTTTCTCGTCTGCTTTCCTGGCTTCTTCTGATTTCGCTTGGCTTTCATCCTGTTCTTTCTTTTTAATGTCTGCTTCCAGCTTATGTATCTTATCTTGAGCTTCTTTCAATTCTTTTTCTACATCATTTTGATGTTGCTTAGCCTTTTCTGATTCCTCTTTCTTGACTTCTAGTTCATTTGTCAACGCCTGCAGTTCATCTCTAGCATTTTTCAGGTCTTCATTAGCATTTTCCAAAGCCGTTATTTCACTTTTGGAATCTTCTAGCTCTTTCTTTGCTTGTTCCATTTCATTTTTTATCTTTTCAACAGCTTCCAGTTCATTTTTAGCCTTATCAGCTTCACTTCTTGCCTTCTGTAGCTCTTCCTTTAGCTTCAAGACTTCATTTTCTGACTCTCCAATATTCTTCAGACCCTCCTTCAAACTTTCCAATGCCATTTCCTTCTCCTTTATCACGTTATCCTTTTGTTTTATGGCTTCTTCCTTTGCTTCCAATGCTTTTTCCGCTTCTTTCTTCAGCTGTTCTTGCTTTGCCAATTCAGCTCGGACTTCTTGAAGATGTAGTTGACTATCGTCAGCATTAGCTTCGTTTCTGAGGTTCTCATTCTCTTGGATTCGGACTTCTTCTTCTAATTCTGCGACTTTGTCTTGTAGCTGTTTCGTCAGAGCTTGATGTTGTTTGGATTTTTGTTCAACATCCGATTTCAGCGAGATCAGCTCGGCTTCGTACTGGGCCACTTTGGTTTCTAGGTCCTTCTTCGCTTGTTCGTGGTCTTCTGAAGGTTTTGGCTGAAAAATAAAAACATTATGTCATATAGGGGCTATAGGAATAAAATTTGTCTTGAAAAGTAAGAAATTAGTAAAGAATGCCAAAGAAATCACAAAGCATCCCTTTAAGGCATGAAAAATAGGTATAAGCGGCACTTTTGATCTTTTTGGGTCAGGCCTGACTTTGATATCCAGCCAGGTGTTTTCCAGGCTTAGACACGGCCTGTTTCTCATGCCTAACATCCTTAATCTTTAAGCCAGTTTCCTCAAAAACTTATCCAAAAAAATTAAAATAGGCTTAAATTAAGTTTTTCTCGTTACTTATTGACCGAATCAATCTTCAAATCCAAAAAAAATAATAAATATTCCTCAAAATCACCAAAACCTACAAGTTCCTCATTGCCTCCGGCACGTTTTCTAGTTACTTTACAACAACTGAACGGATGAATTAACCTGAGCATTCTGATAAAACTGACCAACAACAATATTATTCCCCACATTTCAATCAAAAAAAAGTTGTTTTTTCGAAAATACGTTTTTTGAGTTTTATGCAAATTTTTAAATATTCAAAATAGAAGCTTTTCAAAAATCGAAAAAATGATATTCAAAATATGAAAAATTAAAATAAGTTGAAAGAATATAAAAATTTTTTTCAATAAAATGAAATTTTAAACATTATGTTAGTCTGTGATCAAAAGTTGAGGAATTGTATATTGTAGAAAGCCAAACTTATCAAAACGTGGAAAAAATTATACACCTGGCCAAGAAATGCAATACCGTTAAGAAAAATGCAGAAGACGGAGAGATTTAGGTCGTATTTTACAATATATTTTTTTTTAATTTTTTTTCCTAGATTTTGAGATATTTGTACTATAATGGTAAATCAAGCAGAATTGACTTTTACAGTATTTGTGATTGATTATATTTTTCAATTGTTATCGTTGTTCAATAGTCCAAACACAAGCTTTAATCGAACAAAATTGTTAACCAACTAAATTTCGACAACTTGGGCGACCAACTGTCTCCTAGCTCTTTAAATGAAAACCAGGACCGTCGTGACGCGTCACCCAATCTAGAGCCCAATCTCCGACTGGTACGGTCAGGCTTGGTTGCCTCGCTACAGTGGCCAATAACAGAAGAAGTAGCCTAGTCCAGCCAGCAAAAAAAGTTCAAAAACTTGCACTTTGAACCAAAATATTTTCTTTTTCATACCTATGTGATCATATCAATTGTCAAAGATCCCAAGAATCCAAAGTCCATACTCAAAAAATTCAAATTTTCCATTCACATCATATAAAACATAGCATCGAAATCACATATTATCATAAAATACGCACAAAAAACTGATTAGTATCGTAAAATAGACTACGTACTAATGTAAAACACAATGTTATTCAATCTCGATCAATTAAATCTCTTTTCGCACTGCTATAAACATACGATCTTTTTTCTGCCAAATACTGACAAATACGATCTTTTACTATCAATTACATACGCAATAATTGACTACCGATCTTTTACTGAGCTTTCGCGAGATTATATGGCCCGAGAATGTCTACCGATGTCCAATACTATAAATAGAGGGTTCGATGCATCAACTAAATCAGTCAACTCATCTGGTCGGTTTAGAAAGGTGTCGACAGTTCTTCTTGCTCTTAGGCTTAACTATAGAATGTAGAATAGTATCAAACTTAGGCTTAACTATAAAATTTAGAATAGTATCAAAGGTTACTACGAAGTTAGGATCGTATACTTAAGCCGGATTTAACATTGTTAATGTATTTTAAATCTTATTGCCGTTTTTATCATGATCGTGAACAGTCGTATTTTACCAAAATATCGTGTTCATTGTACCATAACAAAAATTACAGTACTTGTAACTTTCAGCCTACCTTTGCTACAACTTTTTAAAGTTAAATTTTAACTTAGAAAAAAATGAACACCACCACCGCCACCATCGTCGCCGACAACACCGAAGAAGCCAAGCTGCAATACTTGGCTAGCCAATTGGCCGAGGGTCAACGCCAAGAGGCCTTGGCCAAGAGCCAGGCCGTCTACCAGAGCCAAGCCGCCTACGTTTTTGAAGCTCAGCTTCACTACCTTGCTGCCCAATTAGCCGAGGGCCGTCGTCAGGCCATGTACGAGAGCTACGGCCAAACCCAACTAGCCTACAGCCCAGCCACTCCAGTCCACGCCGCCCAAACCGCTCAACCCTACCCTACTCCGTCAGCCAGCCCCTTCGACTCGGCCTACGGTAGCCAATGCGAAGACCGGCTGTCTCCTGGCTCTTCAAATGAAAGCCAGGACAGTTACCCAGTTTGGTGCTATACCGACTGGTACGGTCAGGATTCGTCGTCTGACTACGATTCGGATGAGAGCAGAAGAATCAGCCCGGTCCAGCCATTCCCATCATGCATGAATGCTGAGCCGTTCATAGAAAGACCGGCCAAGAAGGGAAAGCAGCATCCTTTGATGCCGCATTCGAATGTGGACGCCCAGCCCTTCTACCCGGCAGTATTTTTGGAAGAGGAAGAACGGTGGAACCTGCATTTGCAGTATTAGGAGAACAACATAAGAAGGCATTATTGTACATAATATTACTGAATAATTTTAGATATTTATATAACTTTAATAAATTTTTATAGAAAATCTTGTCGTAATTGACGTTTTTCCTCGTACTTGATCTTACAGTAATATAAGTTGATAAAACTCAAGAAAAAAGTAAGATTATATTAAGTATACTTGGCAAAAGACCAGTTTTTTCATTCTTTTTGCCATTATAAGCCATAATTTGCCATTTCAAACAAAAGCAACACATAAATAACATTAACATTCAAAAAACCATCCCAAACTCACCTCACTACCTCCTTTTTTGCCCTCCGTTTCCTTATTGGCTTGATGATACTTGGCAATCCAACTACAAAGCTCCACATCCTTTTGTTCGAGCGCTTCATGACTTTTTTGCTTATGTTCGGCCAATTTTAATGTAAACTCCTCTCGTATTTTATCGGCACGTTGTGACCATTCCGATTCACACTTATCTAGCCGAGCTTTCCATTCTTTGGCCAGCTTCTGTTCGATTTGGCGGATTTTCTCTTTTGTTTCGGGCGATTCTACGTGATTGGACGTTATGGATTCGTTATCACTTGTCTAAAGTGGAAAAATAGGTAATCGGAATTAATGAAGGATAATAAAACCAAAAATAAGCTAGTAATGTCTAATTTATACTTTAGTATCAGTGAAATTGCTATATTGTACACCTACTTTTAAAAAAACATTTTAAGTATACCTAAACCAATATTATTCAAAAGAAAGTCTAAAGCAATAAGAAACAGTTCAATTTGGTATTTTTTTCTTATTCTTATGTTTTAGAAACTCTTTTTACCACTAAAACTTCAAAAATCTCATTTTAGGTCCATCTTATCTCCACAAAACTATCCAAAACAACGAAAATTAGTCTTAAAACAAAAATCAAAAAGTCATCCATACATTGAACGTATTTTACATTCAATTCCGCCAAATTCAAACCTAAAATCAGAAAAATATAAACAAAATTACTTACATCATCTAGCGAAACACTATCTGGAGGTATCGACGTCGTCGGAGGCATTACAACTCCATCGCCCAAAACCTAAAGAATGTAATAATTAATTTTCAACACATTCCCTTACTTGTAAGTTCTCCTTGAGTCTGTTTGCTTCATCTTGAAGCCGGTTTTTCAGACCTTTGAACATGATTTATGACCAAACCTGACCAGACCTGAAGAAACTTTCAATTAAAATAATTTAAATTGTTTAATTAGCGGAAAATTGTATCAACAGCATAAGAAAGATGCTGTTCTTTCTAATAAGCATAACAACAACAAGTTTAAACGTTAATTACTTTAGTTTTCATCAATTTAAGCTATCAACAACTACAACAATATAAGAAAACCCTAAATTTCTTCAAAAACCCTTAAAATTCTGATCGAAAAACACTGACACCTCCGCAAAGTTTAATATAAATTAACACCCCACATAACCTTGGGATCGTTAAACCATTTCCGGTTCGAATCACAATCCACGAAAAACGAAAACGTGGAAAAAAGCGACGAAAAAGTGAATTTACTCGAATGTCCGGCGGTCTCCCCGTGCTTCACGCTGCTTCCAGCCGTCTTTTCAGATGTTTTGTAGCCGCGGGGTATGGGTCAAATCTTATTCATGAAAAAATAAAAGATTTTAGCCGTTGAGGCGGAATGCCAACAAGATTTTGCGAAATTAATCTTTCGCGATGGGACCAATATGAATTGCCTGTCTATATATACTCAAAAAGGTACAAAAATATGAAAAATAACCAAATTTATATCCTGTGAAAATTTATTACTCGTATTGCTTTGGTTTTACAATAAAATTGAAGATTGTGCATTAAAATACAATATTAAACATGAACAATATAAGAACAAAACATGAACAATATCAGAGATCTTTAGATATTCGAAGCTTCCTTCTCCTCGGCCTTCTTCATCTGAATCGGAATGTTCTGTTTCTTTGGCTCGACTGCTTGCACGACTGGCACGGTGACGGTCATTTTGCCATTCTCTTCCATGTGACAAGCAATCTTCTGCAAGTCCATGTTCTTCGGGATCCTGATCTGTCGTGAGAACGTCCTCTCGATCAGCTCATTCTCCTTCTCTTCCTTGTGCAGACCACTGACCTTCAGAACATCACCATCCAGGTCGACCGTGAGCTCTTCCGGCTTGAATCCTTCGGTTTCGCAGTGAACGGTCATGTCGCCGTCATTGTTGAACTCGACGTTGTTCACGTAGTAGCCGTTGTGCTCCTTCTCCACGGCGTTCATCACATTCTGAATCGTGCTGACGGTGTTCAGGGCATCGACCAGGCCTTCGAGATCACGTTGAGGACGGTAGAGGCTTGGGCAGCCGTGGTGGCGACGAGGGAAGCCAAACGATTCATAGACAACTGGGAACATGTTGGCAGCAGTAGTAGATTACAGTTATAGCACTAAAAGTTTAGTACACAGTAGAAATATCACCTTTATTCTTTGCAGAACTGGAGAAAACCGCGAAAACCCCGGCTTTTATACGACAATGTGAAAGAATCCCGAATTCCCTGGAAGTTTCGCGAGGCCGACAGGGCGGGGATTCGCAGCGAAAGAGGGAAGCGGGCAATTTCGAGAAAGAACTGGCCGCGAAATCGAAAGAAAAGGAAATTTCCAGAAAACGCGCGAAAGAAGTAGGGGCGGAGCTTTGAGAAAAGCGGCGAAAGAAGGGAAATTACGAGGGATTTCGCGAAATTTCTGGCCGTTAAATGAGTCAAAATTGATGAAAATAGTTTGAAATAAGTTTTCTAGTAGCTTCTACTGTTTAGCCAGTCTTACGAGTATTTCTGACTTATGCTTTTGCTAAATTTCAAAATTTTAACGCGATTTTTTCGTTAAAAAAGCGCTTCGCAAAACCCAAAACAATCAAAATTAAAATTTTTATTCAAATCAAACATTATATTCGATAATAATTAACAAAATTATGGCCATTTGACGAAAATACAAACAAAACCGAGATTAAAAAAAAAAAGAGAGAGGAGTGATGTTAACCATGTGTACCGATCCGGATTAAGGCTTAATCTCGTCAATTAATAAAATCGACCGGTCTACCCGTTTTTGTGCGCAAAAACTGCTTAAAGCTGAGGGGATATAAGTTAGGATTGTAAATTTTAAGTATGAACAGGAATACTGACTATGAAAAGGGTTATTGAGAATAGTTTGAGTTAGCAGACCTAGTACAATATAAAGTAATATACCTTCTGTTACAGTCGTTTAAATTGGGTGAAATTTGGTTATAAGTTGTAAAATAATCTGATTATAGTAGAACATCAGATTGATTCCTGATTGCTGTGCTAAGTTACAGCTTATTATATTCACCATGGACAACATTAGTGCCATGGTGAACCTAAAGTGCTATAATTTCGCAAGCTTTTTTAAAAGTGTGCTAATTGTACTGAAGCTATGAAAAAGATTAGATTTACAATATAATGTAATGTCATAACAGTATCGCTAAGTTATGAACTCTTATATTCACCATGAACAATATTATTACCATGAATAATATAAAGTGCCATAACTTTTTAAAAAGTTGTGCAAAATACACACAACCTGGCCAAAAGTCACTAAAGACACTGTTTTACATTGCAGTAAAACCAAATTATCATACATTATATAATCTACAAGATACGACCATTCAAAGTTGACCATCCTATACCACACTGGTGGCAAACTGTGCGTTAGGGTCGAGCTGGGTTAATGTTGACGTAGACCCATGTTTCATAAGTAATGTCGTCAACTGCGCGGTCTGATTAGTACTGTTCTGTTGGAATGATGAAGTATTACTGTTTTGACTAGTTAGAGTAGACGAGGGTGTCATGGTCGCTGGTGGGGGTAGAGCTGCTGGGTCGTGAGCTTTTTCAATCTGAAAATCGCACATTCTGTAATTTTAAAATGTCGTAAATGTTTTTAAATTCGAGAATCATATTTTTTGATATGACATAAAACTCACCTTGCCATATGTGCCATTTGGTTGGTCCCAGTTTGGCTTTGAAGTGAAGTTGGCACCACTTATCAATGGTTTTGTAACCGAATTTCCAGAAATTTGAAGTTTTTGTTGATTTGGAGCGTACGTATTTGATTTGGGAGAGCCATTTGACATACCGTAGGTACCGTAGCCAGACCTAAAAATTATGTTTTTGAATTTGTAAAGGAAGTTCTTGCCATTTTATGTTCAGTAAAGAAAGTTCTTGCCATTTTATGTTCTGTAATGAAAGTTCTTGCCATTTTTTGTTTTGTAAAGAAAGTTTTTGCCGTTTTAAGTCTTGTAAACAAAGCTCTTGGCATTTTTTAGTTTGTAAAGAAATTTCTTGCCATTTTAAAAAGCAACTTACTCATAGTTAATATTACTGGTCCTGCCCAGTGTATAAGACCCATAGCTTGCTGTGGTAGTGTTTGTATTGTTCAATGTGCCAATTTTGTTGTAATCCATTGGATTCGCAGCATAATCGTTCGAATTTTCGTTCAAATTCTGAGCATACATCAGTCCAGCTGGTCGAATCGGGCGTCTGATTGAGGCGTAGGATTCTGGGTGCTATAAAATGTTATAGAGAATGGAAACAACTTTGTTGAGATTTAGCTTAAGTCTGAGCATGAGCATGAGGGTGTGCCTGAGCATGAGCGTGAGCCTAAGCTTAAGCTTAACCTTGAGTCTGAAGTTGAGCATGAGCATGAGCATGAGCATGAGCATGAGCATGAGCATGAGCATGAGCATGAGCATGAGCATGAGCATGAGCATAAGCATAAGCATGAGCATGAGCATGAGCATGAGCATGAGCTTAAGCCTGCAGGTTAGCCTTGTCCTGAACCTGAGCTTGAGCCTTAGCTTTTGTCTTAACCTGAGTCCTAGTTTTACCCATAGCTCTGGCAATATCTTAAGATGTTAGGCTTACCGTAATTTTGGCTTTTCTTACCGTATTATTACCGTATATTTTTTCTATATCTACCCCATTTAAACTCATGTTGCTTTACTAATGCCATGCAACTTAAAATTACTGTACCTTTTTGTAATGTTAGCCCTAGATTAGTCTTACCTCTAGCGCATCCTCAAAGTCTTAACCCGTAGCCTATCTCTCTTCATTACCGTAATTCTACTCCAGCTTTACCCTGATTCTACCTACAATCTCTGTACCAACACTACTCTTACATTAGGTTTTAAAATTTTAAGAAAAACATTCAAAGGACACTTACATAGTTCGTGGGACTGTTCTTTTCATACTGTGTTCGCTGGTAAGTCCCAGAGAACAAGTTGGTCGGTTCTGGTGGTCGATAATTGCTGACCAATACCGGTGGTCTTGGTGAATACATTTGTCTTGGCGGTATTTTGAACTTCCATTCTCGTTTACAAGTATACAGTAACCACAGTAGTATCCACGAGAATAGGTAGGTAATTTCAGCGATGAGACAAGACAGTAAAAATGGTTTTTCATCGTGTTGGTATAGTAACAGTAGTGCATATATGGTTGGTGCTTTGATGATGACTAATATGACTAGTAAGAAGATGGCGGTGACATGAGGGCCGTAGCCATCACAACATAACGGTGGTAATGTGGTTTGGTCGCTTTGTCGACCACCATCAAAGTCGTCAAGTAAACCAACTGCATTTGGCTTCGGGGTGGGGGCTTCACTGTCGTATTTGGCTTTTACTGTGGCCTGAAAGTACGGTATATGTTAAAGTAATTGCTGTGGCTAGAGCTAGGCCTCTGGGCTAGGGCTCTGGGTTAAGGCTCTGGGCTAAAGCTCTGGGCTAAAGCTCTGGGCTAGGGCTCTCGGGCTAGGGACTACTGCTAAGAATAGGTAATACTTACATAGTACTTGTTGTATCCATAGGCATAAACAATAATTGGAGCTATCATCATAAGTACAATTGTAGCGACAAACGTGCCCAATATTACTACTGGTAAATAGACAATGAGTTGGGATGCTACAGCCAAGTGTTGTCCTAAAATTTTTGACATTTGAAGGTAAAATACAAAATGTTTATTCATTATTTTACTTTATGCTTGAGACATTGTATAAAAATGAGTGTCATGATGACACAATGTCGCAAAAACGACAAATTTCCCTAAAAATGTCATTAAAATTACTTACCAATGCCAATAGGCCTCAGACTGTAGTAGTTAGTCTCCTGAATCCTAAACAATATTGAAAACCCAAGGTAAGTGAAGATGACATCAGCACTGTGAATCAGTAATTGTAGTGTAAACCAAAGTGAAAACCATTTGTTCAGCTTCCAAAAAACTGAAGGGTAAGCGGCGGCGTAGGCGATCAAAGCGATGAATAAGTTGACAAATTCCAATGGAATGCCAAAGAGTCGCGCGTGCATTAGAACTGAAAAGTTTAAAATTTCATGATTTGTAAAGAAAGCTTTTGCCATTTGAAGTTTTGTAAAGAAAGTTCTTGCCATTTACAATTTTTTAAAATAAGTATGATGTTCGGCGGCCTGCAGGTGACATCTTATACGATTAATCGCATTTTGTGTTTTGTAAAGCAAGTTTTTGCCATCTTATGGTTTTTAAAGAAAGTTCTTGCCATTTTAAAGGACCAGTTCGCCCATTCAAATATCATTTGCATTCTGTCGCAAAAAGCGTCGAAAATTAGGCAATTTCAATCAAGATCATTTTTCTCAAAAAAATGTGAGTGGGTCGGTGTCGAAATGAATTTTTCAATTTGGGACCGACCTGCTCAGGTTTTTTGCGAAAAAAAATGAACATCGAATTTTTGCGACAGAATGCCAATGATATTTGAACGGGCGAACTGGTCCTTTAACATTTGTAAAAAAAAGTTCTTGCCATTTCATCTTTTGTAAACAAAGTTCTTGCCGTTTTAACATTTGTAAAAAAAGTTCTTGCCATTTTATGCTTTGTAAAGAAAGTTCTTGCCATTTTCTGTTCTAAATTTCAAAAATAACCCAAAAACTTACTTGGTAACAGTCTCGGAGCCAATGGACTTCCAGCCAATTCATCGCTAGTGATTCTGAAGCCTTGTAGTCGTGTGTCGCCCATCGGTAAGTTAGTTGCGAGTTGTCGCGACCTTTGATACAAAAAGTCCAGCTCAGTGTTCAATAAGTCGCCAGAATTGATGAATCCGAAGCGATACAGCTGAGCCAGCATGATTTGTTGAGCGACCAGCTGTACCAGAGCCGCTAGTAAATGTAGGGTTTGGGGTAAGGGTGGAGCATGAATCCAAATGGCACGAATGGTCGAGAAGGGAAAACAGCCCTTCTCGCGACATCTTTTGTCATCCTTTTCCGACCACTTCAGCTTCTTATTGTCGCCAGCCAAGTTGCCTGTTTTAAAAACACCAAATAGTCCCATTAGTACCATCAATGGTATAGAAGCACCACATAGCGATATATACACCGTAAGCCAGCCACGAGGATAGGCGTTGTGTGGCCATTTGATCTCGGTATACAAGCGATAGCGATGGATTGACAGGTACAGTATGTAGGCTTGTAGCAGTATGGTAAGTACAGTATACCATATTGTTGACAAGGAGTTGAGTCTGATTATGTTACAGACCATTTTGGTCTGTTGGTCGTTAGAAAGGTCGTATTTTCGGTCGAATTGTGGTCGTTTTTGGCTGAAAAAGGGCAGATTTAGGTAAAAAAATCAAAAATACTGTAGTAAGGACGGTAAAATACGCGGTAAAATCTAAAAAATCACATTTTTATATTACAGTATGGCTTAAAACTTCAAAAAAATTTTGCTAAATGTAAAATACGACAAGAAAAAAAAGATGTAATGTTAAAAAATATAGTTTTTATACTTAAAATCAGCAAAAAACTATAGAAAACAACCCCAAAAGCCCTAAAACATGTAAAAAGAAGCATATTGTTGTAATAATCTCATATCAATGACAAGTTCTTTTGATTACCAATGACTCATACTTTTATCACCAGTAACGCAATTAAAAAAATGAAACATAACAAGATAACAAGGCGACAAAACATAATATTATAATTTAAAAACCAGACCCAGTGCAGAATATTATTATAAAAACCAAATAATTATAAAGTAGGGAAACCCTCCCAAAAAAATTTTCGAAAAAAGTTGAACGTGGTAAAATTTTACCTTATTCTGTATCTTCTTAACCCACGCCCAGATGTTCACTACTCTGCCCTTATTATAACCTTACTTCAGTCCTACTCCACCCAGGGCCGGGCGGGGACTTTTGGTCTGGAAGCGGGAGACAAAAATTTCTAAAAATCCACGGGGGGACCACGTTCAGCATTTTTCAAAATTTTTTCTTTGGGGACGCCCCCACCCCCCTTCCCATCCCCGGCCTTCACTCGTTATTACATCCTACTCTACCCAATCTTAACGTGCCTTACCCTATCTTACCCTACTCTATCCTCCCCTGCTTTAACATACTCTACCCTACAATTTTATACCTGTAGCCGACAATCATACTATATTATAATATTATATATTGCTTTATCAAAACTGTTGACGCTTATCAGCTGATGGTTTTTTAAATTATTTATCTTTAACCGTTCCCGGACTTTTTATGCTTTATAATATTATTTTAAAACTAAAACTTTTTTTTTGTCTAGAAAAAAACCTCAAAAACTTTCTTTCCATCGCAGAAAGTAAAACTTTTTTCACAAAATATTTTTTTGTAAACAAAGTTTTTGCAATTTCAAAACAATTTTTTGGCCAAAATTTTATTTTTTTTTTGTAAAATACGTTTTGTTTCATTTCCTCAGATAAATAAAGTACCATAGTAAAATGATATTATAAAACAGTAAAAAGCGAATAAAATGAGAGAATTAACGTTCCTGAGGCATTAAAATACACTCCCAAATGAGTATTCCATTAAAAAAGTTTTATAGCGATTCGAAAGTGCAGAGTAAAGTAAAAAAAGAAAGATAAAATGATAGCTACTGACACTGTGAGGAAGAAAAAGATATATAGTATAGATAATGTCGTATAATGTGGTATAATGTAAACACAGTACAACTCTTGTATAAGAAATCGCCTTCGAATTCGAAAGTGTAGTAGAACTTCTGCATAACGAATCGCCTCGGAAATTTTCATATTTGTTTGTCATAAAGGAGTTTCGTTATAGTTATAGCTTGTTATACCAGGGTTACACTGTATTTGGTAAAGCAAATTTTAAAATTCACTCTGTTTTTAAAATTTTTATGAAATTGCCTCAGATAAAAATGAAAAAAAGCAAAAAATTTGGTAAATTGAGATATAAATGTACATAAAATATGGCATTTTTAGTTGTTTTCCTGAAAAAAAGTAACCAAAAATATTACTTTTTGTTTTTCATAATTGCTCGTGTTTTGATAAATCGCAAAAAAAGTCATACGAACGAATTTTTAATATACCCTGCCCAGCAAAACAACAAAGTTATCATTTTACAAAAAAATAATCTACCCTACCCTACCCTACCCTACCCTACCCTACCCTACCCTACCCTACCCTATCCTACCCTACCCTACCATACCCTATCCTACCCTACCCTACCATACCCTATCCTACCCTACCCTACCCTACATGTTTTTTCCTCTTCCCCCTCACCTCTCCCTCTTTTACCCCCTCCTATTCCTCACCCCCCTCCCCCTCCAGTATAACCCAAAACCCGGCACTCAAATTTGTTAATTAACCTAGTCCAGCAAAAAACAAAAAATTTAATTATCTCGAAAATTGTGGTCGAAAAACAGTGTCCACTAAACCGCGCTTTACTCTACCATTAGTCACGGTCATTCTTTACTACAAACAATATGACATATGTTTCCGTTTTGGCCGAATTTCACTCCGAAATTGGGCTGGCTGGGGGTATATTTCGTAGTAAAATGGGTCTGACATTAAAAAAAAGGTAAAAAAAGAGCATGAAAGGTTCAAAAAGTCATGGCAAAGTAAAGATAATTTACATACTTATATAGTAATTTACATTTTTTCAAATTTTTTAAAATTTATTTGCATAAATGTCTAAAGAAAGACGTTTTTAGTCAAAACTATAAGATACACTTCTGTTTTTAGCCTAAAAATCTAAATTTTTACTCATTTGTTTGATAAAACGATCTTTTTTAGAATTAATCTGCGCCGTGCAAACCCAAAACCACGACAAAACTAATATTAACCATAACTTTAGCATAAGTCAATCTTTAAAAAAGAAAATTTAGGTATATAAAGACAGTTATAATACCTGTAATTCTGTCATTTTACTTTTTTAGGTTTGGTCCAAAAGTTCATAGAATTTTTTCATTTTGTGCTTTCTGCTTTTATAAATTTGCACCGTGCAAATATAATATTAGCCAAAACTTTAAAAAATCATAAATTTGTTTAAAATGAATTTTCAAAAATGAAAATTTAAAAACAAAAAGTCGTTTGCAATGTCATTAAAACTGTTACTTCAGTCCTTTAAATTTTAAGTCAAAATTTTTAATTTTTGCACAGTGCAAGATTTTACCTTTAATTTTTTTGCACCGTGCAAAGCATTTGGTCTTAAAAATAACTTTTTATTATAAAAGTATGTACTTTTTAAAATTAAAATGACCGTTTCTACCTAAACTTATACTGTTTTACCTATTTTACCTCTCAAATCTACTAAAAATCGTTCAAAACTAACCTAAAACAAGTTCAAACCAACTCGAACCGCCAGCAGCCGTTAACGCCTGAAGCTGTTTGTAACATGCCCCTTTACTTAGGCAAATTAACGCGTTGAATAATTTATTAAAATCGGGGAGCAAATCCCATAAAAACCCGAAAAAAGCGAGTAAAAAGTGCATTTTTATAAAAAGTAATGGCCTCAAGGGCTAAAGGAGCGGCCCAAAGAGGAACACCACCGTTTTTTTGTTCTCCCTCCTTCGTGTGCCCCAAAAACGTCGCTGGCAACGTTAATCGAATGTTTTTGGATTAAAAACATTGTTTTGATACAGTGTAACTCCTGTATAACAAATCGCTTGGAGAAAGGGGGGGAGGGGGGGGTTTAGTTTTTTTTCGTTATACAGGAGTTTTAAATTTACTGTGTAATGCTCAGTGAAACTCTACCCTAAATTTTTTAAAAATTTAGCTTTAAAATTTAATTTACTTGCACGGTGCAGTAACTAAAAGCCTTTGCACGGTGCAGACCGTAAATAACAAAAGAAACTTTAAAAGTTCATATCTTTGTCAAAAAACATTTTATAGAAACCAAAATTTAAACACAGCTAGCATATTACAATACCTAAACACTGATTTATTTACTTTTTTCAATTTGGCCCAAAACTTTGCAAAAAAATATCATAAAAACCAAATTTAGCGCAATTTCTTCTGCACCGTGCAGATCATAAATGCGTGAAAAACTTTGAAAATTCATACCTTAACCACAAATCATTTTATAAAAACCAAAATTTTGATTTAGCTAGCCTATAAGTTACAATACCTAAACATTGATTTATTCAATTTTTCTAAGTTGGTCCAAAATTTCCAAGAATAATAAACATTCTTATTTTACCACTATCTCTTCTGCACCGTGCAAACGAATATTGCCTTAAACTCTCTTAAAATAAGAAAAGTTAAATTTAAAAACAAAACAAAATGAAATAAATAGAAGTTTAAACTCAAAAAGGTTTGGAATCCCAGTTGTAACAAAGTCATTTTGTAAAAGCGCGGCGATCGGCCCAAAGACAAATCGATCGTTCTTGGCCGTTCTCTCGATTTTAATTCCGACATTGATTTATATCCCGGCTCCCTAACTAATTTCCGTCCATTTTTCTTGGCTTTCCGCAGGTTTAAAAATTTTTGAACGATCAAAAATTTGAACGATCTTGGCGACAAAATTTTAAAATTTTCAAAAAAAAATTTTTTTTTCAAAATTTTTCGAAAACTATTGAAAATGATGTTTAAAGGCCTATTATAATATAAAGAACACAAAAACAGCCCAAGCGCGACAATAAAAAGGCGTATATAACATAACGACAGTACATAAAGTTATATTGGATAGGCTGTCATTATTGAGCTGTAACTTAATATAATGCCATTTTATGACAATATTATTGCATGAATACTACTTACAACATACCAACGGATTAGGTCATGAAAGTGAAATATTGAAAAATTTGCAAAAACTTTGTTTACAGACCACAGAAGTTTATTTTTTTCAAAATTTAGCCATATTGGCTGATGTTCTTGATCTGTAACTTAATATAACGCAGTCAAATTAGCAATACATATCCTTCACAACATTGACAATACTCTAGAGTATGATGCTGTATACTTGAATTATCAAAAGATCTGCAAAAACTTTGTTTACAACGCAAAAACCTACATTTTTCACCAAAATACTCGCTGTTTTCTGCTTTTTTCTCAACCGGTCAACAAAATTACAACCCCAAATACAACCCCAACCAACCTCCATGTTCAACTAAAACATCATCCAGTTCAAAATTATGCAAATTTCGCGCAATTGGCCGCGCTTATGGCCACTTTTGGCCGGGTCCTCATGGCGAAAATAAGCGAAAAATTCGAAAAAATTGAATTTTTAATCCTGTCGCTGCTTTCGAGAGCCCTGTTTTTTGTGGCCTAGAGCA